CTCTTGCGCCACCAGGGAGACCCAATCCAATGACTTTTAATACATTTACAAATTTGTACATTTTCTCACTGTCTAATTTTGAACATTTTTTTTTTTTTTCTGCAGCCTTCAACCCTCCTAAGCCCTTTGACCATTAGCAGTCACCCCCAACCTTAGTCAACCGCAAATTCATTTTCTGTTTCTATAGATGTATTTAACTATTCTGGGCATTTCATATGAATGAAATTGTATAATATATAGTCTTTTGTGATAATTTTCTTTCATTTGGCAGTGTTTTCACAGTTCATTTATATTGTAGCATGTATCAGAACTTAATTCCTTTATTCTGAACACTGTTACCTTCTATGTAGATACCACATTCTAGTCCATTCTCTATCAGATGTTTGTGGTGTTTCCCTTTTTGGCTATTGTGAACAATGCTGTGTACATTGGTGCACAGGTTTTTGTGTAGATATGTATTTTTTCATATATACCTAAGTATGCAATTGCCAAGTTCAGTCATCTTTTAACCCTTTTCTGAGGTCTTACTTTCTACTCTTGGGTTTATAACTTTTTTTTTTTAAAGATTTGTTTATTTATACAAGAACTGGAATACATGCCAGAGGCGGGGTTGGGGGTGGGGAGGTGTGAGAGGATTCATCAGAGACAGAGCAGGGAACAAAACAGGCAGACTGACGAAATACACTGCTGAGGGGAGCAGCGGGCGCTACAGGAGAGGTCTGCAGCTCCATGTGGGACCCTCACCAGCCGGCAGGGATGGAACCAGCGATGCAGAATCTTTGGACAGCTTCACAGCGGGGTGCTCAACCGTCTGGGCCACTAGGGGAGGCCCTCTTTTTTTTTTTTTTTTTTAATATTCATACAAGAATTGGGGTAAGGCCAGAGGTGCTGGGGGAGAGGGCGTGGGAGGATTCACCAGAGACAGAGTGGGGAGCAGAGCAGTGGATTGAGTGAAATACATGGCTGAGGGGAGCAGCGGGCAAGACAGGTGAGGTCTGCTGTGCCATGTGGGTAGCTCCCTGGCTGGGGATTGAACTCGTGCTGCAGGACTGTGGATAGCTTCACAGTGCTGTGCTTAACCCTTTGCCCCACCAGGGAGCCGGGTTTCTAATTTCTAAACTATTTTTTCTCTGAATGTTCTCTCCCCACTCCCTTTTTAGAAGAAAATAGCATTTTTACTCATTTTGTGGATGTGTTTTATTTCTTTGAAGATAATAATAGTTTTTTCATTAAGTTTTCTCCTCCCTAGAACAGACTTTCTTTATTCAGATAGATTTTAGTTTTATTTTTCTTGTTGTTGACAAATGAGAGGCTCTCTTCGGTGTCTGATAATCCTTGGTTGTCTGCTTTAAGAGTGAAATACCAGAAAACTGATTAGAAGTTCTGAGCTAGTGCTTGTGTTTCTAGGATTCAGTGTAGTGTTATCTGGTTGGCCGTTTTGTAAGGACTCTCCTAATGTCAGTGTCTTCATGTGTCTTGGTTTGGTCAGTTTCCCCCCCAAATAGTCCCCTGTCTGTTGACTGTCATTGTTCTAGAAAGTCTGTTGATGAAAGATGACTGGGGGTATTGGGAGGCAGATGCAGATTCCATTCAATATGTAAATTTTCATTTAACCTCCCTGTTTTCATTATGCTACTTTTCTGTGCCTCTTGTCTGCCAGTTTAGGACACACTATTTTACTCTTTTCAGGGCAGAGAAGGTGAGGGAGAGCTGGAAATTGAGCTGCTCAATAAGTTTCTAACCGGCCTTTCTATTTATAGCCCCACCCTCACCATGACTTCCAAATACCTGACTCTGCTGCCAAATCCTGAATCTTTTTTGGGAGATGGTGGTTCTATGGTATAATTTGGATTGCTTCTTGGCTTTCTCCATTGCTTTTTTTTAAGTCTGCTAAATAGATGACCACTCTTTCAAAAGTTTGTTGCAGTTTTTTTTTTTATTTTTTTGAAAATACATGCTTAAGAAAATTACTTTACCATTGCTTGGCAGGATTTTCTAAAAGAGTTAATAAGTGTGTTTGTTAAACCTACACTTTTTATTTTATTTTTTTAATTTGCATTATTTTTTTAAGATTTATTTATACAAGAACCGGGGTACAGGCCAGATGTGCAGGAGGGTGAGAAGATTCACCAGAGACAGAGTGGGGAACAGATCAGGCAGACTGACAAAATACACTGCTGAGGGGAGCAGGGGGCAAGACACGAGAGGTCTGCTGCGCCTTGTGGGTTTCTCCACAGCCGACTGGGATCAAACCTGCGCTTCAGAGGCTGTGGACAGCTTCACAGTGCGGCACTCAACCACCTGCGCCACCTGGGAGGCCCTAAACCTACAATTTTTATTGGGAAGTTCTATACTCTTCATTATGTGTCCAACTTTTTATATGTCCTTCTTAATGACTAAGGTATATTTATTTTGTAAATATATCTGTTTATTTTGTAATTTGGTTACTGGAGTCAAATCAACTGAATTTTCATGTTCTAAAGATGTAAAATTTATAAGTTGATAATTAAGAGAAAATTGAAATAAAAGTAATTTTATGACTTTTTTTTTCTTTCATTGTATATTTAATTGCCTTTTTATCAGAATGTGGGAGCTGGGGAGAGTAGTGACATGCATTGGTATTTAATACTTTTCTAATACTTTTTTTTTTTAAGATCTATTTATTTATGCATACAAGAACTGGGGTACAGGCCAGAGGTGTGGGGGGTGAGAGGATTCAATCAGTCTTTATCCAGGTCTTGAGGTAGTTTTTTTTTCTTTTATTAAAATATTTTAATTCTGTCATTCTTTTTTTTTTTTAATTTTTATATTCCCCATACAATTGCAACCCCGATTTTGACCCCAAGCCCTGCCCCCCCAAAGAGTGTCTCTGGTTCATAGTTGTTTGGTGATTGAGGTAATTTTTATCACTTATTTCAGGTATTCTGATTAAGTCTCTAGAGAGCTTCAACAGTGTGAGTAGAGCCTAACACTTGGAGGGTAGATCCAAGCAATCTTTAGAAATATAGCTTGTTAATAGGGTGATTAACAAAATCATTACATCTGTATTTATTTTGATAACACATAAAAGGTATTCATAAATGAAGACAGCTGCTTAAGGGACATGGGATTTTCTTTAGGAGTGATAAAACTTTTTCAGATTAGATTGTGATGATTGTATGACATTGTAAATGTTCATTTAAAAGTGATTATTTTTATGTTATGTGTTACATAGTATTTTGTTATATATTCCTTTCCCTTAAAGAAGGAATTTATAGTTTTATTAGTGATGTATTATCTCTGAACCTTTGTAAGATGACTTATTTTTTTGCAACAATAAAAAAGTATACTTTTAGAAGATGTATAATGTAGGTAAGTGAATATAAGATCATTAGTTACCCTATCTCCTGACTTTTTGATGGTATGTTTATTAACATACATGACAGTATAATAAAGATATATAAAAATTACAGTAAAAGTAGAAACTTTTTCTATTTAATGTGTAATCTGAGTATTTTTCCATTTTTTTAGTATTTGTCTACAGTATAGTTTAAAAAAAAATTTTTTTTAAAGATTTATTTATTTATTTACACAAGCACTGTGTACAGTTAGAGGCACGGGAAGGTGAGAGAATTCACCAGAGCCAGAGTGGAGAGTAGAACAGGCAGAGTGATGAAGTACACTGCTGAGGGGAGAAGCAGGTGGCAGGAGAGGTTTGTGCGCCATGTGGGACCCTCGCCCGGTGGCTGGGGATCAAACTGGCGCTGCAGAGGCTGCGGGCAGCTTCGCAATCCAGCGCTCAACTGCTGCGCCACCGGGGAGGCCCAGTTCTAAAAAAATTTTTAAAAAATATTTATTAATGTATACAAGAACTGGAGTATAAGCTAGAGGTGCAGGGGGCGAGAGGATTCACCAGAGACAGAGTGGGGAGCAGAACAGGCAGGCTGACTGAAATACACTGTTGAGGGGAGCGGCGGGCTAGACAGGAGAGGTCTGCTGTGTCAGGTGGGTAGCTTCCTGGCCAGGGGTCAAACTGTTGCTGCAGTGGCTGGTGATAGCTTAACAGCACTGAGACTGTAACTCCTGCACCACCAGGGAGGCCCCCACTATAGTTTTGTTTTTTTGAGAATTTCATGTAATTGGATTTAATTGCAATCGGAGTATCTTTTGTGTTTGAGTTCTTTCACTGAAGCTTTTTTTTAGTCATTCACACTGTTGCATGTATTTTTATTTCTTTTCATTAATGAGTAGTATACCATAATATGGATATCCATTTTTTGTTGTCAAACATTTGGGTTATTTCATTTTGACTTTTATAAATATTGGTGTGAACATTTGCAAACACATCTTTGTGTGGCTATATCATTTTCTTTTGGGTTAATACCTACAAGTAGAATTTCTGGCCATATGGTAATGTATGTTTTAACTGTATAAGATACTGTCATAATGTTTTCCAAAATGGCTGTACCTTTTGCATTTCCCCCAGCAATATATGAGTTGTTGTAGTTTCATAACTTCAGCCATCTTGTTGCCTTGTAGTGATATCTGCTGACTAATGATATAAACTTTGATTTTAACTTTTGCTTTTATGAATGCTAGCATATTTTGAAAGAGTGGGAAGTAAAATAAGTATATATATCCACTTTGTGAGAACTGAAGTGGGCTGTGTTAGGCATATGTTCAAAAGATTCCTATGTAATTGAAGGCTCATCATATATATGGCATGATTTTATAAGCTTGGTTAATTTTAAGTTGTTTACCTATCCTTAACAGGCTAAGTTTATACTTAAAAGTTTTTGTTTGGATTATGCTTATTCTTATAAGTGATTCAGAAGACAAATGTTAAACAAAGAAGACTTGTATGATAACAAGACCAGTGATTATGAGCTTTGTATTTGTTAAGACTGTAGGCCTGGAGTTTAATTATTGAATAATTGATTGAGAAATATATGAATCCAAAGATTAGTTATAAAAGACATATGATTATGTACAAATGATGATATAATTCTTTTTGTTCTTAGGACATTTTCATTCCATCACCCAGCTTAGAAGAACGCTCAAATGATGGGAAAAAAAGTGGAGACTTGCATAGTTCATCTCTGACTGTTGAGTGTTCAAAAATTTCAGAGACTGAACCAAAGAATTCTGAGGATCTTGGGCTGTCTTTGACAGGGGATTCTTGTAAGTTGATGCTTTCTGTAAGTGAGTATAGTCAGTCCCCAAAGATAGAGAATTTGAGTTCTCAGAGGATTGATGAAGATGGAGAAAACACACAGATTGAAGATACTGAACCCATGTCTCCTGTTCTCAATTCTAAACTTGTTCCTGAAAATAACATCCTAATGAATCCAGCACAAGATGGCCAAGTAGAACTGAGTCATAATGATGAGAAAACAAAGGGAGATGACACAGAAACCAGAGATGACAGTAGTATTTTAGCTGCTGGTTGCAAAGACAGAGAAGAGACTGTGGTAGAAGATGTTTGTATTGATCTCACCTGTGATTCAGGGAGTCAGGCAGTTCCTTCTCCAGCTACTAGGTCTGAAGCACTCTCTAGTATGTTAGATCAGGAGGAAGCTATGGAAATTAAGGAACATCATCCAGAAGAGGGGTCTACAGGGTCTGATGTGGAAGAAATCCCTGAGACTCCTTGTGAAAGTCAAGGAGAGGAATCCAAAGAAGAAAATATGGAGAGTGTCCCGTTGCACCTTTCTCTGACTGAAACGCAATCCCAAGGATTGTGTCTTTCGAAGGAAATCCCAAAACAAGAATGCCAGGAGGCAATGGAAGTTGAAACCAGTGTGATTAGTATTGATTCCCCCCAAAAACTTCCAGTACTCGACCAAGAATTAGAACATAAAGATCAGGAAGCTTGGGAAGAAGCTACTTCCGAGGACTCTAGTGTTGTCATCGTAGATGTGAAGGAACCATCTCCCAGAGTTGATGTTTCTTCTGAACCTTTGGAGGGAGTGGAGAAATGCTCGGATTCCCAGTTGTGGGAGGATGATGCTCCAGAAATAGAACCATGTGCTGAGAATAGAGCAGATACCCGGGAAGAAAAGAGTGCAGAATATGAAGGAGACCTGAAATCAGTGACTGCAGAGAAGGAACCAGTAGAGGCAGGCTCTCCACAGCCTCCCTTGACTTTAGTGAGAACAGATGATGCTTTGAGATCCAATCAGGAAATGCAGCAGACCCACCCTCAAGAGAAAACAGCTAATTCACTAACAGAGGACTCAAAAATGGATAATGCAAATCAGCTGGGCTCAGGTGGCGAGGCCCAGCAACTGGAGAAGGTTTCTGCACAGGCCTCACAAAGCTTCTGTGAAAGCTCTAGTGGTGAGTATGATTATAAATTGTGTACCTGTAATGTTGAATGGTAGACATGCATGCTTATGTCAGGGCTGAAAATTAACTTGGGCTTATGTTTATGAACAGCCAAAAGTAATTGGAGAATTAAAACATTGGGGTTTTATTTTTCTTTTGTAGCTGTAATTATTTGTGGAGTCAGTAATCATTTGAGTTTTATCAGCTTTACAACTCAGGAATAATATATTTTAAAATTCTTTAGAATATGTGCCAATTGGGTGTTTTCTCCTTTGGTCCTAACCTTGCTCTCTGGTTTTTAATTCTGACTGTTACCTTAATGTACAAGGCTGTATTTTGATTACCCTACACAATAAAATCACATTCAGAGCTCTGTTAATGATTATGTGTTATTAGTTGTTTTCCTATTTGAGTATTACGTTTTTAAATTTGATTCAACATATATACATCTTAAACCTTAATGTAGAAGAGATTAGTTTGTGTTTTCTATTTTACGAAGTTTAGAATGAGAATATATATTGTATTTGTATACCATCACATATGACTTTAGCTGAACAGAGGTCAAATTTTCTGACTTCCCAGATTTAGTGTAATTAAAAAAGAAAACTTCAAAAAGAAATTATAACCTTAAGAAAACAAGCATCTAAGCGATATGGAAATGAGAAGCAGTATTTGGGTAACATCATGTCTTTAGTATGGATCATCTTTTTGCTGTGCTTGGAATAGTGCCAGTACTTACCTCTTCTCCAGGTGTGATTATAACTAGTACTTTTTTTTTTAACTCTCAAAATTGCCATTATTCATAAGGCTTTATACTCAGGAATTTTCTCCCCCTCTTTAGAGCAAGAAATGTTAGAGCTAAAAAGAAGGTTAAAGGTTGTTGGGATCAGTCTTCCTCAAGTTACGTGTTTAAAGACTGAGGTGGTACTAGAGCCTAGGGCTCCTGATTCCTCATTCTTTTTCTAAAACTGTATAATATAGCTTCTCTGAGTTATGGTAAATAACTATTTGAATGACCTAATATTCTGTGTTATTGAATATTTTTGTTATTTCATTACTTCTAAGTACTGTTATTGACCTTGGCTAATGCAGCTATAGGACATGTAGACTGTTTTAATATGGTGACAAAGGAATATTTTTAATTTTCTTAAGAATTATATTGCAAAAGAAACTTCTAAAACACTGGGATATTCTGTTGTTACAAAAGTACTCTCCATGAGTACTTCACACTGTTTGGGAGGGCCAGCTTTTTTTTTTTTTTTTTTTTTTAAAATGATACCTCCATAATAAAACTGATTTTCTTAATATTTACCAGGTTATTTGAAAATACTAGTAAATAATTTTGCTAAATTCTTTTTTTTTTCCTTAAAAATTTATTTATTTATATAAGAACCAGGGTACAGTCAGAAGCGTGGGAGGGTGAGAGAATTCACCAGAGCGGGGAACAGAACAGGCAGGCAGACTGACGAAATACACTGCTGACAGGAGCAGCGGGCATGGCAGGAGAGGTCTGTCGTGCCATGTGGGATCCTCACCAGAGGCCAGGGATCGAACCGGCGCTGCAGAAGCTGCGGACAGCTTCGCAGCCCAGGGCTCAACTGCTGCGCCACCAGGGGAGGCCCTAAATTATTTTCTTAAAGAAGTGGAGACAGTGGTTAAAGAAAGTGTTTAAGACAGTAAAGAAACAAATAGTTTTAGCTAGAAATAAAAAAATGATGAGAAAGTGACAAGCCTTGACAAATAGAGAATTAGTCTAAAGTAAAGGAAATGATTCAGTAGATCATATCTAGAACAGAAAAAATAGTCTATATTTAAAGTGTAATTGTTTGTTTGCTAACCCTTATGGATGACTTATTTAAGGAAGAATAAAAAGTTAATGGTTCACTCTGGAAGAATAGAATGAATTGGGTGAGTCCCAGGTTTATTTTTAGATTTCTGTATGCAAAAGTTAAAAGGGCATCTTTGAGTGTGAGTGTGTGTTTTTTTAAATTGCTTTATTGACTGAAATATACATGCTTAATTGGGAAAAATATACAAGCTGTAGGGGGATGGGTTGGGGTGGCGAGAGGATAGGAAAAGGAGAAAATCACTATCTCCATTTATAGATAACTTGTCGCTAACAGTTTGGAGAACTCTTCAGACATCTGTCTTTGGAGACCTCCTCTTGAAATGTGAAAAAAGCAAATTTAGAAAGATGGTACTTGGAAGCCGAAATTTGTTCATTATAAAGCAAATTTATGATGGGTTGATGACGTGAACAATTTTAACAAGTTCAGTAAGTTTTTAAGTCCACAGACCATATTCTATAATAGGAAAGCTAGCTGTGTTTTGTGCTTTGAGGTAATCTTCGTTGGCTTACATTATGGGCTATCATTCTCACTAGCTGTTAATGACAGAGGCAGATTTTTAGTGTAGACTGTTTATGGATGGTGTCACCGAATATAGAAATTCTTATATTTTTAATTAGGTGGCTTACTTAATTGCTAAGACGTGACCAATTCTTTTGAAAATGAAAGGAGAGAAAATAAGCCTTAGATTGTAACAAAGTTAGAAGGGAGCTTCCTGACACTAAAGGTTTTAAATATTGCTTTGGACTAATGTGTTCTTGAAATTCTTTACTAATAAGTGATGACTTCCCCACGCAGATGGTTTGACAGTAGGTATTAAGTTTTCTTTGTTTCATTTGTATCTTTTTGGGATGATAGGTAGACATATAGAAGGGTAATCTATGATAATATGGGAAAGCAAGAAAAGATTTGATAAATAATGTAGGAGAATAATGGAGCAAGATGGAGTCTACCAGCAGGGTCATTCTGTCAAGCCACATACTCCATTAATGAAGTTCCCTGACAGAGACAATCCTAGGCCCATTGTATCAGAGGCTTTGAGATCAGCAGCACCTACAGTCTTGTTCTTCTGCAATTTCACAACATTCCATGGGGAGGAAATCACAGGATTTGCTGATGCATCGGGGTTCACCAAACACTGTAGAAATAATAAAAACATCTCAGAAATACAAAGGGAGGGCCTCCCCGGTGGTGCAGCGGTTGAGCCCTGGGTTGCGAAGTTGCCTGCGGCCTCTGCGGCGCCGGTTCGATCCCCGGCTGCTCCCCGGCCACCAGAGGAGGGTCCCACATGGCGCGCAGACCTCTCCTGCCGCCCGCTGCTCCCTCAGCAGTGTACTTCAGTCCTTCTGCCTGCTCTGCTCCCCACTCTGGCTCTGGTGAATTCTCTCACCCTCCCGCGCTTCTGACTGTACCCAGTGCATGTATAAACAAAACAAACAAATATAATAAATAAATAAATAAAAACATGCCTCTATAAAAAAAAAAATAAATAAATTTAGAAAAAAAAAAAAAGAAATACAAAGGGAAACTTATGTTTCAAGAAAAATCAGATTTATCCAACACTAAGTGGAAAACTTGAAGTTATTGACCATGAGCTGACTTTATAGGAAAGTTGCTTTTGGTTGCAGAAGGAGTGGGGTAGATTTCAGGCTGAAAAAGTAATTGCTAGGCTTTTGTAATCCAGGAATGAGACAGTGAAGATCTGACAAGAGTAGTGGTAGTGCTCCCCATGAAAGACCCACGTTATCCATTTGGGTGTAGTGGTATAGGTGGATCACTGGTATTGATAATTTTTGCTAAATTTTATATCTTGCATTATACAAAGGAAAGCCTGTTACAGAGATAATTTTTCATTATGTTTGTATATAATATTATGGTTTGTCTCATAGATAGGTCTGCTTAAAGATTTAATATTATTGCTCTCAAACACAATGCAACCAGTTATTTCCCCAACAAAAAAGGTTTATTTGGAAACAGCAATAAAAACGCAGTTTGGGAACTGCAGTCTCATGGTGAGACAGTTGTGCACTTGCCCAGATCATAAGCCTTCAGAGGGGCTTCGTCTGGGCACAGAGGACCCCTTCCTCCTCCTTTCTGCTGGTGGGGGTGGGGGGATGCATCACTCCCACAGAGATGCAAAGCAGTTTGGGTCTTGTAATTTCTGATTGCATACAGATGTGAACTCTCCCCTTAACCTGTCAACCTTATTTAAGTAGGTTTCCTGTATATTAATTTTCACAGTACACGTTTTCAAAGATCTCGGTAGTCAGTCATAATGTGAGGGAGGATGTCAGAGCAGTGCAGGTGATTGTGTTACTGGGAAGAACCCGGAGGGAATGAGGATGACTTGTTTGTGAGTCTCACTTGTATGGTTAAGAATATAGGACAAGATCCAAAAACAGATAACACAGAAACTAGAAAGAAAAGAATATGAAAGGAATTATTTACATACGGAGTGAGAAAAGGGAGAGCTAAGAGAGAGAAGTTACCCGCTAGCATATGGTCAGCTAACACCTACCCATAGATAGCATCCAGTGAACAGAGACCAGGGAACAATTGGAGGCCAACCAAATAGGAAAAAAAAAAGAGCGACCTGTCTGTGCTTCATTTTTCAAAAGTCCACTTCGTAGCTCTGCTCTGTCCCTGGTTTCCAGCAGCTTCTCTTCAGAATGTCAAGGGGTGGGAGTTCCAAACTCCACCTTTTATTACTGCATAGTTGGCTATAAGTAGTGTCACCCATTGGTTTGGAAGTAGTTGTTCTTACATTAGTTCCAGAAATGAAAATTCTGTAAAATATCTCTTTGGAATATATGAAGCTTTTTGATACGTTGTTTTTAGTTTATTTTTCTCTTAAGTATTTTAATAACCTAAATGCTTTTTAAGGCACTGCCAGAGAATGGAATGCTTAATCTACCTGACCCATTTCTCTTATCTATAATTGAAGTGGAAGTCTTTGCCATTTAGGTGTGATGCTGGGAGTCTCCATTCACACTTTAGCGTTCCTCTAGCTGAGTATATGTACTTTTCCTTTATTTCTAAAGTCCATATCATTTTCTTTTTCATCCCTTCAGGTTACTAATTCATTTTCTCTTCTATGTAGATATGAGATGGTTTTTGTTGTTTTGTGATTTTTGAAGGAAAAAAGTATCAAAGTGCTTGATATTAAAGATAATAAAGGATAGAAATGGAGTGGAAAAGATGAAAGAAGAAAAATGTGGCATACAATAGTCCCCCTTTACCGGCGGTTTCGCTTTCGAGTTTCAGTTACAACAGTCAACCAAGGTCTGAAAATATATGTACAATATGATATTTTTGAGAGACCACATTTACATAACTTTTCTTACAGTATATTGTAATTGTTTTATTATTATTGTTATTAATCTTATACTGTGCCTAATTTATAGACTTTAGCATAGATGTGTGTATAGAAGAAAGTAGTATATATAATATATAGGGTTCAGTACTGAGGTTTCAGGCATTCTTTGGTGGTCTTGGAACTTTTCACCCCAGGGTTAAGGAGGGGGTGGCTACTGTAATATTTGGTTTTCATCTAGTTACTGGCACAGAGTTCCTAAAACCTAATAATTTCCTAAGTGATAGAAAAACCTTTGTTTTTAAACTCTAATAATCACTCTTCAGTTTATGCTAATGAGGGTAGGAATCCCTCCGGATCCCTTAGGCTCAGGATGGGCAGTTCACTGGAAAGTTAAAGTGATTAAACGGTTGGAACTTTCAGCCCCACCCACAAACTACAGGAAAGGGAGGGGCTGGAGATTAAAGCCTTATAAATACTTTTGAAAACTAGATGTGCTTCCTGATTGGTAAATAAGTCTGAGGGTACCCAGTTTCACTAGGACTGAAACTCCTGCTGTCAGAACTGCCCTTTTGGACCTCACCCCAGGTACCTGCTTCATCTGTGTCCTTTACAATATCTTTGATAATGAATTGGTAAACTGAACTCTTGAGTTCTGTGAGGGATTCTGGCAAATTGATCATATCTGAGGGAGGAGTTTGTGGGAACCTCTGATAGATAGGCAGTTGCTCAGAAGCACAGGTAATACTTGATCTTGTGAATGGTGACTAAAGTAGGGCCAGACCTGTGGGACTAAACCTTTAACTTGTTGTAATTTCCAGGTAAATATGTCAGGATTGAGTTAAGTTTGTAGGATACACGGTATCTGCTGGGAATTGGAATTGTTTGGTAGTGTTGGAAAACAAACTATTTTCACAAGGTATAATAATTGGGTATGCTAGACTATTTGGAGCCATTTCAGGAAAATAATTGCAAATTTCCTTTAATAGCTTTAAAAGGAGCAGTGGCACAAAATTTTTTCCTTCAAATTTGGTCATTTTATTAAAATATTTAGGAAATCAGAAAATGTGATTTTGGCGCTTTGCTAATTCTGATTAGCAAAAGCTTGAAACTGAGGCCTAGTTAAAAAATTTTACATCTTGACAGACGTTTTATGTTTGTATTAATTTAATGATAACTAAAATGTGTACACTCAGATGCCCATAAATGCAAAGTTTATCATGTGCAGAGATGTAGATATGGACATTACTACTGTGGGTTAGCGTGAATGTTGGTCAATACTGCTGAACCAAGAAACCCATAGATTTCTTTGTTATTAATAGAACCAATGAATATGTTCAAGTTCTTTGACTCATGAGAGCCTGTGTCATCTCTTTGAGTAGACGGTAAATTATTAGTGTCAGACTTTGAAGAATCCTACAAACTATAAAGGCTATAAATGAATTCCTTGGGTTAGCATTGCAGAAGATTAAATTGTCTAGACTTGAAACTATACAAATTTGTGTCACATTTGTGAACAGTAGCTCCACTTGGAGCTCAGATGTTTCAGTGTTCCTTTGACCCCATGTTCCTCAGGATCTTCAAATTTTGGAATTCCTCTATTTGTCCACTGGTTGTCTCCTTTGTATAAGTTCTCTTTGTAAAAAAAAAAGGCAGAAAGAATAGTGGGAAGTTGGGCGGCCTGATGAGGACTGGGATTGAGGCAAATTTGGGAGCAAAGGGAAATAATAACTGAAATATTTCTTGTATTTCTCCTCACTTTGGCTTTTTTAATACTTCTCCTAGGGTTTTCTTTTTGTTTATCATGGTTTTTTTTTTTTTTTTTTTTGTGTGTGTGTGTGTGTGTGTTTTTTCCAGAAGCTCCATTTCATTTCACTTTGCCTAAAGAAGGTGATGTTATTCCACCATTGACAGGTGCAACTCCACCTCTTATGGGGCACCTAAAATTGGAGCCCAAAAGACACAGTACTCCAATTGGTGAGTAAACGTAGTGATGTTTGAAGCAAAATCTTGAGAGTCATGCCAGTGATTCTTTTATTTTTTTTAATTTTTATTTTTTTTTAAAGAGGCATGTATTTTATTCATTCATTTATTTGTTTGTTTGTTTATACAAGCACTGGGTACAGTCAGAAGTGCAGGAGGGTGAGAGAATTCACCAGAGCCAGAGCGGGGAGCAGAAGGACCGAAGTACACTGCTGAGGGGAGCAGCGGGCGGCAGGAGAGGTCTGCGCGCCATGTGGGACCCTCCTCTGGTGGCCGGGGAGCAGCCGGGGATCAAACCGGCGCCGCAGAGGCCGCGGGCAGCTTTGCAACCCAGCGCTCAACTGCTGCGCCACCAGGGAGACCCATGCCAGTGATTCTTTTAGATCTGAGGAATTGAGTCTGCCCAACAGGGTCAATTTTTGTTTTAAAAGACTAAGGCTGTGTTGATTTCATGAGTTAACTCCCAGGAGGAGTTGACCAGTGATGAAAAGAAAGTAAAAAAAAAGGTGGAAGGATGGAAGAGACTTTTCATAAGCATCCCATTAATTCCAGGGCAGTAGAATCTGATTGCTAACCAATGATACAGAACTGTTTTATAAGAGAAGTATAGCAGGTAGGGTAGAAGTACTTTTTATTCAGCACTTTGGCTAATGAGTCTGCTGCTTGACAGGGTAAGAAAACTTAGATCCTCCTTCCCTGAAGCAGCCAGTAGTCTTCTACATTAACCTGTTTGTTTTCTCTAGTCAGTGCTGGGAGGTAACAATCATGCCGTCTGGAGTCTCCTGCTACCTATGCCTGATGCTGGCAGATGTGGGTTGGCTGAGGGCTCATGCAGCATCCTTTGTCCAGATGCAGAAGTGGAACTGAATCCTGTTGCTCCTCTTAAGACCAGGTGTCAATACTAGTGTGTAGTTGTTACTGTGACAGGATCTATCCTAGGAACCCCCTCCAATCCTGCAGAGTATGGAGCCAAACAGGCAAATGACTTTTTTTCATGTTTGTATTTTAGTTTTCTATCTTTCGTCCTCCTGCCTCCCTTCTTTCAGGTACTAGCAATTATCCAGAAAGCACCATAGCAGCCAGTGATGTTATGTCTGAAAGCATGGTGGAGACCAATGATCCCGTAATTGAGAATGAAAAAGGAGATTCTGGGGCTACTCCAGAAACAGATGATAAATTGTGTCTAAGAATGAAACTGGTTAGTCCTGAGACCGAGACAAGTGAAGAGTCTTTGCAATTTAGCCTGGAAAGTAAGTTTTATTTTATGGCATTCTTGGGTAATTAGTAGCTCCAGATCATTTGGAAAGTATTGTCTTTCTTCTAATTATAATGATTTTTTATTTTGTAATTATGAATGTATTTGTATAGTCTTATTCTCAGAGTTAAATCTTTTGGCCAGTCTCTATCATGTTATTGAAGATGCTTCATTTATGATCTTTGTGTTGCTGCTCTTTATTAAACCTGTGTCTCGTTTAAGTAATTGGCTTCCATATTCAGAAACAGTCTATCTAGGAAAAGGTAGAAATTTAGAATTGTGGATTCATGTTGTAGATTTGTGTTGCCTATTTCTCCCATTAATTTTGGTTGGTGTGGGTATAGAGAGAGGATACAGGGGTGTGGCTACAGAGTAGGGACCAGATTCCAAAAGGCCTTTATATCAGCTGAAAGGCTGAAGAATTTTAGGCAAGCGAAAAATAGAATCAGATTGCTTTTTCAAAAGTGTCAGCTGAGCGTTTTAAAACTTTGTGTATCTTATATTACGCATTTCCTGTTCTCCTGCCTGACAAACTCCTAATCAGTGTTTTCATCAGGAAGCAGAACCATTGCTAGTAGAGATGGAGATGAAGGGGTCAATTAGAGAGGTGAATAGTCAGTAGATAGAGAGCCTTGGGACCACTCGAATATGCAGAGTGGATGGGTTGGGAGGTAACTTTATGTCTACTATATTGTCTCATTTAAAGTTGATATCCTTATTTCCATTTTATTGATGAGAAAACAAACTAAGAGGTTTTCAAGTTCAGTGACTCACAATAAATGGTGAGAGGTTGAATTGGAGTTTGAATCAGATATCTGTCTGATTTCAAAGCTAATAATTTTTCCACTAGGTAGTTTGTAAATGCTTTTTAATGGAGTTAAAAGAGGTAGAAGTCTTTAAAAAAAAAAAAAGAGAGCGATTGTAAAGGGAAGAACATTCAAAGAAGAAGAATTGGGAGAGTAGGAAGCCGTGGAAACCTATGGACGAGAGAATTTCCGGAAGAAAGCACCGTGAGACACTGGGAAATCTAGTAAGACACCTGAAAAATGTACACTGGATTTGGCAATTAGGATTTATTTGACTCTTTAACAACAACTATTTTAGTCTAATGGTTTGGGTGGCAGGTATACTGAAGGTGATTGGAGGAGTGATGAGGAGGAAAATAGCAAACATAATCCAGTTTTCAGAAGTTTGTGAGAAAATATGACAAGTTAGAAGGTGATACAGCATTGAAGGAGGTTTTTTGTTATTAGGCTGAAAGAGACCTAACAGGTTTATGGACTAAAAGGAGATCTTGGCAGCTGGGTGGGGAGATTAAAAACAAAGGAATAGGGGAAAGAGTTGATAGATCATGCCTCTGAGGGAATTAGGTGGTGATGCTTTCAAAGATCATGGATAGAGTATATGTAGACTTGAATAGGACAGACACTTGATTCTTAAAGAACAAAGTAATTTTAACTAATAGTTTTGAATATTTCTTATATGCCAGACATTTTACATGTACAGCTCCTTAAATTTCGTAACCTGTGAAGTAGATCCTATTATCCTCATTTTACAGATGAGGAAACTGAGGCATAGGAAGGTCAAATGCCTTCCTTAGCGTGACACAGTAAATGTAGTAGCCTGAATTTAAGTATTTCCAAGAATTGGATGTCTAAATCCAGTTTACAGTGCTAGTCTGATTCTCAGTGCTTATTGATTTGAATCCTAGAACCTCAAGAGCAATTAATGTATTACATGTTTCCCCCAATGGGGGCTTATCAAGAGAGTACTTGGTAGTCTTGAAGTTACATTTGGGAAGATCTTAAATAGAACTAAAATGTCACACATCAGTACACATTACTACTTTTCTTAATGCTAACAACACAGTTTTGGGCTCTGTACTCACAGCTGTACTCATTTATTCCTCATTTAAACCGTATCTGTAAGGTTGGTCCTATTTTATCTCTATCTTATAGGTGAGGAAATAGATTCAGAAAATGAAGGCGTTTACTCCCAGGTTGTACTACTAAATGCTGTTGCCACAGCCTGAGCCAGGTTTCCATTTTAGATCCAGGCTCTAACCACTAAACTGCAGCTGCCTCCTTGATAGACTGTTTAGACAAATAGTGGGTTGTGTATATTTTAGAAATGTTTAAAGTATTTGTTACTGTCTCTAAGGTTGGAGTGAATGATAAATCAGCTCATTTTAGTCCTTGACATTGGTGACATTGCTGAAAATACAGAATTCTTTCAAGTGTCACCCTTAATTCTTTGCAACAGATTCTTGAAAATGTGTATTATTTTTCCAAGATTTGCCCCTAACAGGTACTTTGGCAGGTAAGAATTCTATCACTGAACCACTCATGCTCTTACAGGCACTTTGGGAAGAACTTTAGTACTTTCTATGTGTGGATGCTCTTAAAACTGCACACTATTGAAAATTTCTGTGTCAGTTGAAGACTCCTGCATAATTTATTAAAGTTTTTTTTTTTTTGATTGACTTTAAATTTGTTCTAAAATTATGATTTTGGGGGGTATTACTACATAATATTTTTTCTTATATGAGAAGAGAATTGAGATTCAGGAGAAAACATTTTCATTTTTTAATGTTTAGTCATTTATCATTTGTATTTTGGGGCAAACTACATTATCTTCTGTAGGAAATCTGAAAATTGATTTGTCAAAGTGAAAAAAATCTGTACCATTAAATTATAAGAAATCTTTCAATGTTTGATAATTACCCACTTTTATTTGCTGCAAATACTAGTTAGCAGATTTTTAGAAAGGTTTTTAGGTGTGATATTAAAATTCTGTTTCTGTTTCCTTTCTCTCCTTGCTTTTGTTTTTATTCAGAGCCTACAATTGGTGAAAGAAAAAATGGATCTACTGCTGTTGCTGAGGCTGTTGCCAGGTAACCAGAGCTGGTTGCTATTTAGAGGAGGTTGATATATAAGGCCACTGGTAATGAGGGAAAGATGATTTATCAAGAGAGGAAAATGCTTAAAATATAACTCCAGCATAAAGGATTCAGCAATGTGTTGAATTTAAAGTAGGCTTTCTTATTAGTGCTTTAAGTTTAATAAAGCCTTTGCTATACTTAGAACAAAGATAACTTAGAGGTGTTTCCCTTTCTCTTTTGTTCATCTGGGAGTGCCCTTTTTTCTTTTTCTGTTGATGAGACTGAGATTGCGGTTGCTTTTGGTGAGGAAATAGAAGGTTTAGCAGGAGGTAGCCTTAGACTTTGTTTCTTTTTTTTTTTTTTTTTTTTTTGGTGGGACCCTCACCTGTGCAACCCAGCGCTCAATCACTGCGCCACCAGGGGAGGCCCCTAGACTTTGTTTCTTTTGAGATTCCCTGCTCAGTCACAACCTTGGGCCATTTTTTTCTGCTTGAAATTAACTACGGTGTGGAATTTTTGCTTTGTCATGAATGCTGTAATGCTTTGAGAATGAGTATGACCCCATCTTGAGGTTTTCCTGGTTAAACTTTGCCATCTGGTGGCTGTGAGAGTAGAAATGTATCATTTCTTGCAAGTCATCCAGCATGAAACTACTAGCAGCAGTTGGTGAATAAGTAAAGCAGGCTAGATGCAAGAGTGTGAGATGTTGAGGATGATGGTTACCTGAAGGTGTGTCCCATTTAAAAGAGGGTTAGCTGCCGCCGGTCATCTCTAGCTGATGGTTACTATGTGAGAATGCACATTGTTGGCAAAGTTTAATCTTTAAAAAAAGAGAAATTTGGAATTTTAAAAATAAAACTTCTGCCTGGTAAGTCAAATAAGACATTCCTATGGACTAAATCTGACTCCCAGTTGCAAGTTTCTGACCCTTGTCAGAATACTTTGTATTTAGCTATAATCTTATAGAGATGAATTTTTCTCTGAGCTCTTGCATATTTAACCTGAAAGATAAAGTACCTTGGTGTCCTTGCTCAGTTGAAGACTCTTTAATTATATACAATTTGTATTACAAAAGAAGAAAATGAAATTTACACTTGATCTGTTTGACTTTAACAGAATTGTTATACCAGATACAACTTGTTATTAGTCTGTACAAGTGGCTGTAAGAACAGAATGTGCTGTCGAAGCTGGTGAACCCTTTGGCAGAATGTGGGGATGGAAAAATAAGGGGAAAAGATTAAAAAAAAAAATTGTATATGAGAATCTAGATCGTAAAACCTTGGATTCTTTCCCCATTGTCATTAGGCTCATCATAAAATATCATTTAAAATAAACTTTTAGAATATTTTAAGTGATCTCAGGGTTTAGGTGATACAGTAACACCGTTCTAAGTGTTGTCTGTAACTGGACTCTGTTCACATTACTTGCTGTCATCTTATTTCTCGGACAGTTCATTTGGAGAGTTTCAAGCATATACACAGGTAGAGAGAATAGTATTTTAATGAACCATGTCAAAAATTACCAACTCATGGCCAGTCTTGATTGATTTATCAATACTTCAGGTATTCTCCTTGCCACCGTTTCAAGAATTATGTAATTTTCTTTTTTTTTTTAATTTTTTTTTAAAGTTGATTTTTTTTTTTAATAGAGGCATGTTTTATTTATTTATTTGTTTGTTTTGTTTATGCATGCACTGGGTACAGTCAGAAACATGGGAGGGTGAGAGAATTCACCAGAGCCAGAGCGGGGAGCAGAGCAGGCAGAAGGACCGAAGTACAATGCTGACCGAAGTACAATGGGCGGCAGGAGAGGTCTGTGCGCCATGTGGGACCCTCCTCCGGTGGCCGGGGAGCAGCCGGGGATCGAACCGGTGCTGCAGAGGCCGCGGGCAGCTTCGCAACCCAGCGCTCAACCGCTGCGCCACCTGGGAGGCCCTATTTTTTATTTTTTTAAAGATTTATTTATTTATTCATACAAGCACTGGGTATAGTCAGAAGCACGGGAGGGTGAGAGAATTCACCAGAGCCAGAGTAGGGAACAGAACAGGCAGAGTGACGAAATACACCGCTGAGGGGAGCAGCAGGCATGGCAGGAGAGGTCTGTGCGCCATGTGGGACCCTCCTCCGGTGGCCGGGGAGCAGCCGGGGATCAAACCGGCACTGCAGAGGCCACGGGCAGCTTCGCAACCCAGCGCTCAACCGCTGCGCCACCGGGGAGGCCCGAATTATGTAATTTTCTGTATATATTTCATTGCCATCTCTCTAAGATAAGAATTCATGATTTGAACTTAACCACAGTCATAGTTCAAAAAATTGCAGATTCCTTAATGCCACCAAACATTCAATATCCAGATTTCTCTGATTGCCTCATAACTGTTTTTTCAACTGTTTGAACTAAAATCCAAACAAGATGTACACATTACATTTGATTGATATATCTTCTTTTTTTAAAATAGAGGCATGTTTTTATTTATTTATTTTTTATTTGTTTGTTTGTTTTTTGTTTATACATGCACTGGGTAGAGTCAGAAGCGCGGGAGGGTGAGAGAATTCACCAGAGCCAGAGCAGGGAGCAGAGCAGGCAGAAGGACCGAAGTACACTGCTGAGGGGAGCAGCGGGCGGCAGGAGAGGTCTGCGCGCCATGTGGGACCCTCCTCCGGTGGCTGGGGAGCAGCTGGGGATCGAACCGGCGCCGCCGAAGCCGCGGGCAGCTTCGCAACCCAGCGCTCAACCGCTGCGCCACCGGGGAGGCCCCTGATTGATATATCTTCTAAGTTAAATCTCTTTTACTCAATTAGGGACCTTCCCCTCTTTTTTTCTTTTTGCAATCTGTAGAATAAACTGATTGTTTGTCCTATAGACTTCCTGCATTCTGGATTTTGCGAATTGCAGATTTATAATATTTACTATAATCCAGCAACCATACTTATGAATCATCCTTGAGTGTCTTTTTATTATGCTAATTTGAAATCGGTATGAAGAATTGCATTTTGGTATAAAGTGGTTTGAAATACGGAGTGCAGAGAAAGGACTTCATTCCCCCTTTTGCCTAAAAGGATAATCTCCACAAGTACTGTTCATTTCAAAACTAACATGGTATATCGCTTTAATTTATTACCTTAGTCCTCCGAAGACCTTGTCTGTGTTTAGCTGTGTCTGTGAAACCCAGCGAGAGGAGGAGGCTCAAAGTCAGGATCCCCCCTCTGCACCCATCAGGCAAGCATTATTTTATGATATCTTTTGTGTTAGATTCATTCTCAAAAAGTTTGATATCAAGCCTAATATGTATTTTGTTTTGTGAACTTGCTTTTTTATCTGAGGGACTGTGATGTATTCTAGATGGATTTATAAATGAGATGTAAAGAGAAATTTTAGTAAATATTTTATAAGTCAGATTTTTTTCTTTGCTGGTTCTATCATTCTGAAATGATTGAGTCATCATCAGTCTATGAAATACATAATTCTGTATTTCTAACATCAGTTTTTTCTTTTTAAAGATTTATTTTTATTTTTTGGATATAAAAACTGGGGTGCAGGCCACAGATATGGGGGGGGGTGAAGGGATTCACCAGAGACAGAGTAGGGAGTAGAACAGGCTGATCTACTAAAATACACTGCTGAGGGGAGAAGCGGGCAAGACAGGAGAGGTCTGCTGTGCCATGTGGATTAGCTCCCTGGCTGGATATCAAACTCATGCGGTAGTAGCTGGCGATAGCTTGATAGTGCTGAGACTTTAACCCCTATGCCACTAGGGAGGCCCCTCTAATATCATTTTTTTGGTTTTGGAAATGTTTGCTGTTAACAGACTTAATTTCCCGTAGGGTAAAATCTGAGATTTCCAAAATTAAAATTTATCAGACTTGCTGGAATTAATATTTTCCTTACTCTGTATTCTGTTAGAAGCAGAAAAACAAAGAGTAAGAAGTACCCATTCTCTGTTTAAATAAAGATTGTATTGTTTGGAATATGTGATTTTTATGATCAGCATGAGGAAATAAATAATGGCACTAGAAGTAAGCTTGTTTTTTATTATGATGTGGTATCTTTTGTCTCTAGAATTCAGTGATTTTGTAATTAGAGAATATATATGGTAAAGTTTGGTCTGCACAAGTATATTCCTAATAGCATTATTTGCAGCATGATTGTTCTTTATTGGCAGAAATATTTAGAAGAAATGTCAGTGCTTTATTGGACATTCTGATTATGTGAGTTTATGGTTAGTCTTGGGAGACAGGTAGCTTAAAGTATATTCTTGATTGTCTCAAGAACAACGTTAGGTGAGTGCCACTTTGTGTGAGTCCATGAGTGGTAATAGTCCAGCAGTTACTGAATTTATCGATGTCATTGTATTGCCTTCCTATTTGTTAGTATAGAGGGGCAAAATGCTGATGATACTGCTTAACAGCTTGATAGAACAATGGTCTGGGAATCCAGCTGAATTTGACTTCAATTGCTCCACCAGAAAGATTTATATTCAGAGCAGAACTTCTACTTTAACAAACTTCTAGGTTTGTTAAATGTGGAATGTATTCTTGCTTATCCAGGCCTTTTCTGCTAAAATTTGCTTTCTTAGCATACATTTCTAAATCTGACATATAGCGACCAGTGTAGTTATGTAACTGGAACTAAGGAAGAAAAAGAGGTGTGGCCCTTACAATTTTATTAGATTTCACTTGTTTTCTAAAATTCTTTTCTGATGCTTAAAGTTTTTTTTTCCTTTATTATTTTTTTATTTTTCCTTTATTTTTTCTTGGGGGTATTAATACACATCTTATGGCAGATTTTTCTTGGTTGCTTTATGTCCAAGAATTTATGAACTTTGTTGAGTGGGTCAACACTTTTTATGGTATGTGTTACAATTAAGGCTTTGTTTTTTACCTACTGTTCCATGTTGACTTTAATCAGTACATCCTGTCAGCCAAAACTATATCCAGTTGACCACTGAACAGCTTGAGGGTTAGTGGTGCCAGTGTGCCAGTACTCACCACCTGTGTGCCCCTGCAGTTGAAAACCTCCATATAATTTCATAGTCAGCCCTCCTGTATATACATTGGTTCTGCATCTGCTGATTCAGCTGACCAACACCATGATTGATTGAATGCTTGAAGTGCAGAACGTATGGCTGGGGAAAAATTCATGTGTAAGTGGTATGGCACAGTTCACACTCATGGTTGTTCAAGGGTCAGCTGTATATGAACTAGAGAGAAAATGACTGTAATTTAAATATAAGTCATTTGATGCTAACACGTGAATGATAAAGACCAAAATTCTGACAGTTGATAGGATTCTGCTGAATATTGCTAGTGTTGCAATGGGATGGACATCTTTGGTCTTTAAACAGAGGTTCGTTCAGAATTACTCTGATCTTGGGAGCAGCCTGGTATTTGTCAATTTAGGGAATAAAAAGTCCAATATAAAACCAAGCAAATGAAATTTTATCTAGAAGTTTTACTCTGAATAAACAGGTAAAATATGTAAGCTTGTTTAAGGGTAGGGAACATGGTAATTGAGTTCTTGATTAATCAAGTGCTGTCCCTTTTAGGGTTTGACTCACTTTCATTGTTGTTCAGCTGTTGATGTGTTAGATGTCTTCAGTATTCAAACATGAGTATTCTGTTCATAGAAGATGAATTGAGTTTCCTTGTTTGCTTTGTCTTACACAAATAATATTTATTACCTGCTATGTACCTAGCTAAGTGCTTTATATACACAATCACTTATAAACCCCACCAGAGATTTATACTTACCTGTCTCCTTGTGATCTTACTCTTACCTCCTCTTTATAGACCATATATCCTCATTAACTTGAGGTTCTGACAGGAACAACCAAATGTATACCAGTTCTTTTCATCCAGAACTCTATTCTAGATCCTTTTTTGACCTCCTGTTTTAATAAGCTGAGCTAAACAAGATTGAAACATCAGAAACGTTCCCTTTTCTCTTCCTTCAAGAACCAGACTAGAACAAACCCTGAAGAGTTCGTGATGCTTTCTTTTTTCTGTATACCCAGGTCAGTTCACCTTCTAAGGGTGGGCACTCCTCCCAAGAAGGAGACAGCATTCTCTGTCTCAATGACTGGCTCATTTTCTCTCACCAAACACTTGAAGCAACATGACATGATTTCTAGGGCCATTATCATCCTGGGTGTTACCTCTTGGATATCTCAGATTATGCCTTGTAAAATATGACACCTTAAACTAAAACATATCCCATATGTGGTCTTACCATTGTCAGTTCAGAATGGATTCCTTTTTTGTCTGTATTGTGGCTGTTACACATTAATTATAACCTGAAAATGCATTCTTTGTAATTCACTGACTCATTGCACTTGTAATTTAGTAAAATGTTACAAGTTATGGGTGTTTTCCACATGAATTTGTCACTTGTATAATGAATTTATTTAATTTGAGTATAGATTTTTACAGTTAGTTGAGAGAACATTAACTCTCTTGTTCCAAGTACATTATGCACTTATTTTATATTAAACCCTGTGTTAGATGTTTTAAGTGTAAAGACAATAAGACATGAATGTCAGACTTTCTGTGTAATCTGCTTAGAGTTAATCTAGGCCTTTTTATTAAGGACATTTCAGAAAGCCCCCAGGCACCTCAGAGTTTCATGGTATCTGATTTGTAGGAGACAGTCTTCAGATGCTTGTGGGATACCTGAACAAATCTCTCTGATAGCCAAATGGGAAGACTAAGGAAGATAAGTAGAAAGGGTCTTGAGAACTGTCTTTAAGGAACCAGTTCATTCTGAAACGGTAGTTGTAGCTACTGCAGTATAGTCAGCAAACTGGGATCTTCCCTCCAACTCTGTCCTTTACAGACAGGACTCCCCCCACCCCCCTCAAAAAAAAAATTTTTTTTTGGTCAAGAGAGCATGAACTGTATCTAGAATGTTAGAATCATTCATAAATCCAAATGAGACATCTTGACCTAATTGAAGTACATTCTTTAGCTACCTTCATTGTCTATGATTTCAACAGTGACTTTCCATCTTTGTTTACCTTATTTTCTTGTGTCAAGTTTTCAAAGTTCATAGCTACTGGTTTATGACTTTTTTTATCATCCTGGTGGAATAGTACTATGTATTATTTTATCACAGTGAAATAATGAGGAACCTCATAAGGTGATTTGCTCAGCCTCCTTCTTCCCCTTGCCACAGTTCCCTCTTGCCACTATACACACATTCACAACACACATATCCTCACCTGAAATGATTTCTTTGTATGGTTAATTTTCAGGGGGAACTTGCTCCATTTTCCAAGTACTAGAGAAGAGGAGAAGGAAACCTTGGAAGGTGACCAAAGGACCAGACAAAGTCAGCAGTCTGTGAAGCCCAGTAGTCCTGTCAAGGACCCTGCCTTTCCTACCTCCCAGCACATAGCCACAGAGGGACCATCCAGTCCTCAAGGGGAAGTAATGGAGACAGATGTGCTAAAAGGCCAGAAAAAAGGACGGAATACCAATGGGGAAAAACCTAGTAAGGCCTTGATTGAAAGGCCCAGCCAGAATAACATTGGAATTCAGACCATAGAGCATTCCCTGTGGGTCCCAGAAACTGTTTCAGCAGCAACCCAGACTGTAAAGAATGTGTGTGAACAGGGGACCAGCACAGTGGACCAGAACTCTGGAAAACAAGATGCCATAGTTCAGACTGAGAGGGGAAGTGGTGAGAAACCAGTCAGTGCTCCTGGGGATGATACAGAGTCGCTCCATAGCCAGGTGAGAGAATGTATAGAGGCCCTGTTTTTTACTTTCTGGAGTCCGAAAGACTTTAACTTGTGGTACTTCTTCCTACTGATAATTCTTAACTGCTACACAGACCAGTGGATAAAAGATAAATAATTTATCTACAGTAGAGGTAGAGTAGTTAAAAATTATGAGTAGCTGTATTCAATGATAGTTTTCAGGGAAGATGAAATAGTTCTAAGAGCTTGTGAAATAGGTTTCTACTGGAAAAGAAAGCCAGAAATAAAGTCTGGGCCTTATAGTGTCCTTCTGTGGCCAGTCTCTTCCTTCTGCCCATTTTCACCCTCCATTGTAATCATTAGATTATGATTATTATTTTTAAAGATTTATTTATTTATGCATACAAGAGCTGAGGTACTGGCCAGAGATGTAGGGGGTGAGAGGATTCACCAGAGGCAGAGCGGGGAACAGAACAGGCAGACTGACTGAAATCACTGCTGAGGGGAGCAGTGAGTGAGACAGGAGAGGTCTGCTGCACTATGTGGGTTGCTCCCTGGCCGGCTAGGGATTGAACTCATGCTGCAGAGGCTGAGGATTGCTTCATAGGCTGTGCTTAACCCCTTGCGCCACCAGAGGGGCCCAGATTATAATTATTAAAACTAATTGCTTCTCTACTTCACTGTGGTTCCCAGGAATTGAGAGATTAGAAAGTGAGGAAGGAAAGAGTAGAAGGAAGATGCATAAAGGATAGCCTCTCTAGTATGGCTAACAGAACAATAACAGGAATAGAGAGATGGGGAAAAGTCCCTTCATGACTAGAGACTGCAGCAAGAGGCTAAGAGTAGACATAATGGGTAGGAAAAAGGATTGGAGCTGATGAAAATGAGGCTGGAGGAAGAAAAAGTTCTTGGGAATGGAGTATAGAAGTGTAGGTACTAGTATAGGTAGAATAGGTCAGAGGGTAAGAACGAGTAAAATGTCATCGGGATCCGTGGCAGGGAAAATCTGGGTTATTAATAGTGGTGACGTGGCTCCAGTAGGTTATTTTCACTTGGGATTGGCCTAGGAAAGCTTCACTCATGATGGCACTTTTCATTCTGATGGTCCAAGTTGTTTGTTTTTGTAAAAATGTGATGTAGTTCCAATTTATTGAACACCTGTAGTTTTGTACTCAAGACGCCCATGAGGTTGCTATTAGTCCCTTTTCACTGGTAAAGAAGCCAAGCTGAAGAGAGATTAAGTAACTTATCCAAGATTTTGCCATTAGTAGGTGGTAGAACTGAAATTTAAACTTGGCACATTTCACTTCAGATCTGTTGGTATTCTTTTCGTTATGTTATGTTGCTTTTCTACTTTTTAAATCATGGCCTGTGTAGTCTTATACTCTGTTTATCCATGCTTCTCCAGGAATTCCAAAAATACTGTTTTTCCAGTCTGAGCTTACCTATTTTCACAGATTCAAAATAGCACGGCCTTTAAGATACAGGGGCTATAGAATATTGGGTTCTGTTGTGCTTTGCTATTTTCACCCTTAATTTTGCATTATGTCAAATAATATTTGGTTTCTCTGCCTTTATGAAAACACTTTAGCTTGATCTTAAAGGTAGCAGTCATGTGGGAACCACTAGATTATATTTTTCCTTTACTTCTTAATATTCTCCCTCTGTAAAATAGGAAATCCCTGTTCCTATCATCATCAGGCCTAGTTAAGGTACGTAGCACTTGGTCATCATGAGGATTAAGTGAGTAGAGGCATGTAAAGCCCTCAGCACTGAGCGTGACACATAGTAAGTTTCAATATATGTTGACTGCTGCTACCACTTATTTTAAATAAGAATAGTACTGCTGTCACCTCCAGAACCACTACTGATAGTCTATGACTGCTGCGACATGCAGAGTGAAATAACACATTGAATTGCTGCTGCTAAGAAAAGAAAGGTGTTAGAAAAATATAGATGGTGAATGGGTACAGGTTTCAATTGGGAAAGATGAAAATGTTCTGGAGGTGGGTATGGTGATGCTTGTACAACAGCGTGAGTGTACCTAACATAAAACTGCATGTGTATTTAAAAACAAAGTGGTAATTTTTATGTATAGTTTCCCACAATAAAAATAGATACGGTGGGTACAGGAACAAATTGGAATTAGTGTGCCAGCTTTTGAGGAATCGTTAAGAAATGAGGAAGGCTGTGTGGAAATTTTCCAAGTCTCAGTTGCTTTTATATCCCCTGCAATCTGGGTAGGACTCAGGCTAGTGTTGGGCGAAAAGTATAGACCACCTACCTTTGACATGCCTTAAATTTTTACTCATTGTATCATGTGGACCTGGAACCAGGTTTTCTGTGGAGGAAAAGCATGGTTTTATTATAGTTTTGTTACCTTTTCTAATAATGACAAAATCCTCAAGTTACGTGCCTTTACAGAAAGCTCTTTCGAACACTATTTAAAGAGAGTAAGCACAGCTTATCTGCCCCTTTTCCTCTCTCTCCTTGCGTGTTGTCAGACATGGTTATGCAAATGCCTCTTGAAGTGATCATTTGCTGACTATTGTAATATAGGGATGCTTCTTGGCTACATTTCAGGGACACAAAAAGCACTGAAATCTCTTAGACCCCCAATGATCCAGCTCTGTGTATGCAGGTAGGCGGTCTAGGTTGTTTTCATTCTGATGCAGAAGCACCCTGAGGATTGAGGCGTGACATTTATTAACCAGGGTTATATCTTTGTGGAAGTATTTTAGGAAATTGGTTGAATAAATTTTCATGCTTTTGACTTATTTGCATAGCTAAATATTTCCTCTTTAGTAGATATTTCACCTTTAAGATGGAGTTGGAGTAGGACTTTTTCAGGTAAATTATTGAAAACTTCAGGTAAATTACTACTACATTGTCAGGAAACCCAGTATCACCATTATTGGGGAAGTACATATAATTCTTTTGAACAATTTGCGCTCTGTGACGCTCACTGCTTCAAGTAAAATCAGTCTGGCACAAGGGAAGTCAGGTGGGAGAAGGAGCTGCATTTCCTCAGAATTACAGAGCTGTTGGGGTGGTGGGGTGGGCATGGATGTGGATAAAGGTGCTGTAGGTGTTAGGGGGAAATATGTATGTCACAGTCATGAAAATGTAACTACTTAACTGATTATTCTTTATGGTACAACTAGATGGAAAATCCCAGTTTTCTGGTTTTGGACACTAGCTCAGCTCTTTAACTATAATCTTTCTTCTGGAATAGATTAAATATTTTATATTCTAGGGGAAATTAGTGTAGCTTTTCTCAGGTGTAAGGAAACTATCATTTAATGCAGGAAGAACAGATTGCACTGAGATTAGCAGTTACATCATTTTGGCTATATAAAGTTTTGAAAGAATACTTTCCTTTTATCTAAAGAGCTGTGTCTCAAGTATTAACTTGTGTACTGGTGGACAAGTCAGCATCAAAATCCAGAAAGATAAAATCGAAAAATAATGTTCTTTTGGGAGGCAAAATTTCAGTTAAATATCCTGGATTTAAGTGCTAGATGTTACGACTTTGATTTAGACAAAAGGTCATTTTGGGTGATACTGCTATAAATTCTTCCTAGTCTCTGGCTACACAGCTGTTCCATATTTTATTTATAGGTGAATAAAAAACAGTGCAGCTTGAAAATTCCATCAAATTAGATTTCTAGAAATTCTGAGCAATGCTTATGATAAAGAAGTTGATCTGGGATAGCGCCAGTCCACGCTGAGACTCATGCCTGTGTTTCTGTATCTTTTGTCACAGGGAGAGGAAGAGTTTGAGATGCCTCAGCCGCCACACGGCCATGTCTTGCATCGCCACATGAGAACAATCCGTGAGGTTCGCACCCTTGTCACTCGTGTCATTACAGATGTGTATTATGTGGATGGAACAGAAGTAGAAAGAAAAGTAACTGAGGTAATACATGCTCTGGATCTGTGTGGCAAATTTCTTTCGATAGAAAAATTACCATAGCGCTCTACTTCCAGCACCTACCCGCCTTCACCCCCTGTCCTGGCCTTTACTGCGTCACCAGCTGCTTAACACTGTTTTCCTTCATCTTTTTACTGGAAAAATAGTCTGGTTTTTTCCACCATTGGTTTGCCATATGGTCTTTGGTCACTTATTTAACTAGTCCCATCATGCTTATCTTTTACAAGAAGAAGATTGGTAAATTTCGTTCATGTATAGAGATTTTATGTATTCAGTGTTTGGGAACTCAAAGTTTAGCTTAGCTGCATGTGTTTTCTCATCATTTTCTCACGTTTTCACATTTACTCATTGTGTTCTTTCTTGGTCTCCATCTGTTTGTGGTTATGGATCAACCTGTGGGTAAGAGACACATCTTTATTTCTTTGTCGGCTTCATCATGGACTCATTCCCTGTGTCAACACAATATTGTGTTTGTTGATATTTATATTGGACAATATCATGTAGATTTTTACTTAGATTTAATACTGGCTGAGATGGATTTTATAGAATTAAAGAATCTGACACGTCTTGATTTATCAATATCTGGGAACCATTTTATTAATTGCTGAAGAAGCATGACTGTTTCCTTCATTCTGCCATCTAGCCACATGGGAAGTGGTATTCAGAGAGAAACTCTGGTGTATCGTTTTATTAAGGGGGACATAATTGTTATGGTTCATTAATGGGCCACTGGTGGATCTTGTATCAGAAAACATGACATTAATTTGAACAATTGTCTTGTAATCTTTATTGTACACCAAATCCCAGAAAAATTTCTTTTAAAATATTGATTTATCTTCAGTTTGATGTTGGTGGGATTTTTTTTCAGTATTATTGTTGCTTTGGAAAATTACAATTTAGCAACTTAGAAAAAAAATTTGAGAGAAAATTTTCTGACTATTATAGTGACAGGTACTATATAAAGACATATTACTTCATTTACTATTTCATATGATGCTTTCTAAAGTATATTTCTGGAACTACCAGGCCTGCTAGATAACCTCAGGGAAGGAACATGTTCTGTGGTCATAAATAAGTTTGAGAAACACCAACTGCTATAAAGCCCTCCCTCCCAAATGTCAATTCACAGTGCCTTTATAGTAAAGGCTCTAAGAAGTCCTATAGTAAAAACGTCTATTTTATTGTTTACTAGTACTGTTTCCTAAACTGACTTTTTTTTTTTTTGGGTTTTTTTTATTTAAATATTTTATTTCATATAATTCTTACATCTTTTTTCATCGTTGCACAATGTATGCATTTTCATTTTGGTTATATTCCCCATACAATTGCACCCCCCCCTTATTATTTTTTTTTAAAAATAATAAATTTTATTTTTATATTCCCCATACAATTGCAACCCCCCATTTTGACCCCAATCCCTCCCCTCCCCCCCCCCATCCCCCAAAAAGTGTCTCTGGTTCATAGTTTTTTGTTGATTTTGATTTTCACTTTCTTATAGTTATTCATTTTCCTGGTCCCTTATTTAAGTTTTCTAGATTCCTGCTATGAGTGAGACCATCCGGTATTTTTCTTTTTCTTTCTGGCTTATTTCGCTGAGCATGATCCCTTCCAGTGCCATCCATGTTGCTGCAAATTGCATGTGTTTATCTTTTTTGAATGCTGAGTAATATTCCATGGTGTATATGGACCACATCTTCTTGATCCAGTCATCTATTTTTGGGCATTTGGGTTGTTTCCAAAGCTTAGCTATTGTAAACAGTGCTGCTATAAACATAGGGGTGCCGGTGCTCTTTGGAATTGATGTTTCTGTGTCCTTTGGGTAAATACCTAGGCGTGGAATTGCTGGATCATATGGAAGCTCTATGTTTAGTAGGTCCAGAAATCTCCACACAGCTCTCCATAGTGGTTGGACCAGTTTGCACTCCCACCAGCAGTGCAGGAGAGTTCCTTTTTCTCCACACCCTCGCCAACATGCTGGTGTCCATGATGGCGGCGCGGCGGCGGTCCGGTGGAGAGAGCTAAACTGACTTTTAAAGTAATATTTGTTATTCTTCTCTGGAACATAGTTTGGAAAATTCTGTGATAATTAAATAAATAGTAAATGACATTGAGCACTAGCTGTATGCCAGACATTGTCATAAGGACTGTAAGTGACTTAATTAATCCTCACAACCATGCTGTGAGGTAGATACTATTATTTTATTTTGCAGATGAGGAAAAAGAGGCATAGCAAGTTAAAATAACTTGAGATTACATAGTTAATAAACAGGCAGTCTAGTCCCAGAGCCTGCGTTCTTAACCACTCCAGTATGCACCCTCTCAAGAGAAAGTGATGTGTGCCAAAAGAGAGGCACATAGCATAGTTCAAAGATGGAAGAAATTCATCTATAGAGAATTTTCTTTTTTTTTTTTTTTTGGTCTTTTAAAAATTTATTACTTATTTTTAAATTTTATATATGTTTTTACATCATTTTTCATTTTTGCACATGCATGCATTTCGTCATGGTTATGGTCCCCATTCAGTTCCCACCCTCCTTGTTTTCATCCTGCTCCCTCCTCCCCTCTCCCCCCACCTCCCCATAGCGTGTCTCTGGTTTATAGTTGCTTGTTGATTTTAATTTTTACTTTATTATAATTAGTCTTTTTCCTGGTCCCTTATTCAGGTTTTCTAAATTCCTGCTATGAGTGAGACCATCTGGTGTTTTTCTTTTTCTTTCTGGCTTATTTCGCTGAGCATGATCCCTTCCAGCGCCATCCATGCAGTGTTTCTGGATGAGGGTTAGAAAGCATTTGAGTTGAACACTGACAGGTTAGATATTTGGAATATAAGGGAAGACAGCATTACAGGTGGAAGGACTGGTGAGCAGATCCAGAAAGAGAGAGACATAAGAAGGAACTGTCTAGGCAGGTGGCATAGAGGTGTGTGAGGGTGTGAAGGTAGACACGGTGACGTCAGAGGACTCCGGAAACTTTGCTTCTTTCTTGTTTATCATCTTTTAAAGATTTTATGCATCTGTTTACCAGTGATTCTTTTTTACTGTGTTCCTAACATCATGGCCAGCACTGGGACCATGAAGATAAAAAGACAGTTATCCTGTTCTCAAGCTTACACAGGACATGCTCTGATTCCAGAACTTGCTGGTTGCTGCAGTAGAGGCACGAGGAGATGTGTTAGAAACAGGGACTGGAGCCTGCTAAGCCACCCAGAGGAGGCTAAAAGGCCCCACAGAAGATGTGAGGCAGGAGAAGGAGACATTGAAGGGAAGGTGAGAAGGGCATTGCAGGTAAAATGGAAAGTTACATTTGTAGACACTGTGGCTGCTTCATGACTATTTAGAAGTTCAAACAAGAATGGAAGGGTGTGACAGGTGAGGTGGTGCTTTCAAGATTGGTAAGGGCCAGGAACTTAAGACTTCGCATGCCACAGAAAAGAGTTTAGATTTTTATCTTCTGTGTTAAAAAGAGTCCTTGAAGAATTTTGGGGAAAGGAGCGACACGCTCAGATTTGCATGTTGGAGAGGTCAGACAGGCAGCAGTGCAACAAGAGTTGAAGTGGGTTGAGGATAGAGGCATAGTTTAGTCATAGTTTAGTTTAGAGGTAACGTGTGTCAGCTCAGCATGGTGGCAGTGGGGATCGACAGGAGAGAAATACAGGACTTCCCTTCTTCTTGAGGGATACTATCATTCCAAGAACCCCACTGGATGCCTGAAACTTCGGAGAGTATTTGTACTGTTTTTCTCTTTACACACAGATCTATTATAAAGTTTAATTTATAAATTTTTGGAGGAAGAGGTTGACAACAATAAATATAATAAGGTGGAACAATTACACTATAATAAAACTTAGGTGAATATGGTCAGTCTCTCAAAAATCCTGTTGTACATAATGATTTAGACCCCAGTTAACCACGGGTAACTGAAATGTAGAAAGTGAAAACAAGAAATCTATAGAGGGTGAAATTAATAGACTGATGAGTTGCTGAGGGTGGGAATTAAGGGAAAGGGAGGAGTCTTAATAATGCCTGGGCTTTTTATTGGGCAGCTGGATAGATGGTGTATGATATACTATAGGGAATAGAAATAGCACACTGGCTTGAGAAAGTAGATCTTTCATTCGGTCAATATTTACTGAGGGCCTCTTCTGTGGCAGGCACTATGCTAGATTCTAGTCAGGATACAGGCAGGAAAGATAATGGTTACAATCGCTGTCTTAATGGCTTCTGTAGTTTAGCAGAGGAAACACAGAGCAAGTAAGCAATATATTAAAAAGATCATAACAGGCCAAATTGAAGCCTGGGTCTATGTCATTATAAGAACAACTGCTTCGACAGTTGTAAAAGCCAGTATAGCTGTTAACTGTTCTTTGGGCCAATTCTTCAACCACCTTTTAGGCAAGTCTTGACCCCCTGTCCTTTTGCTACAGCCAAGAAAAGGAATTGGCTGAAATTTTTGCCTCTTAACACCCGTTTTTAGTGACTTTGGCAGGTTATGTTGGTTTGGGTCCAGCTGGTGCAAACAAGTTGGGTGGTTGGAGAATAGCATGTTAATGATGAAGATTTGGGAAGTGGTGCAATTTCTGGTAATGACCCTGGAAACAGATGGCTGAGGTAGAGAAGAGAAAAGAGTTACTGGTGATAAGCAGATCTGGACGCTTGGGGTCATCTGGATGGGACAGCTGATGGAAATTAGCCACAGAAAATGATGACAGAGTGGGAGTGGGGAGGAAAGGGAGGCAGTAAGAGTTAAAGTCTTCATGGATTAGAGGGAGCTATTCGTGAGTGACAACAAGGAACAGGGAGAGGAAAAGTTTGCAGTCAAGTGGTGGCTTGGTAGGAGCCAGAAGCGGTGAGAGAAAATGCTCTGTTAATGGCATTGGGAGCAAGGAGGCCTCTCCCTTCAAACTCTTGAATTGAGGTTTGTTTGGGAAAAAAAAAAAAAAATGAGTCTCTGCTGGAGAGATCTGCAGGGGATGTGAGATGTATTGGGATATCTGGTTCATTCATTGAAGGCAAGGAAATGAAGAGAGGTTGACAGATTGGATGGGTTAAATTTCAGGTGTCTGAGTCATCCAGGGGCAGAGTTTAGTAGGTTTCTATATTTGAGAATTTGGAGCTGAGTCGTCAGTGTATTACTGGTAGACAGGCAGGGATGAGTCTAGGAAGACTGGACAGGGGGAGCTTAGAAGAGTGAGAAAAGGAACGAGAAAACAGCTGGGTAATAGCAATTTTAACGGAAAAGGCAAAGAAAGGAACCCCGCAAAAAGCATGAATAGAAGTACCTGAAGCGGTAAAATGAAAGGAAATTTTATGGATTCTAGAGGGAGAGAGTTTCAAGAAGGAAGTGGCCAGAAAATAATCATTTAAACATCTTTTTTTTTTTTTAAGATTTATTTATTTATGCATACAAGAACTGGGGTATAGGCCAGAGGTGTGGGGAGAGGTGAGAGGATTCACCAGAGACAGAGTGGGAAGCAAAACAGGAGGATCTACTGAAATACACAGCTGAGGGGAGCAGCGGGCGAGTCAGGAGAGGTCTGCTGCACCATGTGGGCAGCTCCCTGGCTGGGGATCGAACTCGTGCTGCAGTAGCTGCGGATAGCTTCATAGGTTGCATCTTAACCCCTTGCGCGACTAGGGAGGCCCTCATTTAAGCATCTTATGGCATTATTTAAATGTGTATTGCAGATTCCCCAGAGGGATTGTAAACTCTTCCTTGGAAAGAGCCTACCTTATACTTCCACATAATCTTCTGACGCTTAGCATAATATTGCATGAATGGTCTAGAGCAAGAAGGCAAATGTATAGTACCTGTGCTATAATTTCTTAGCCTTGTGTCCACAGAAGACATTGCTGATTAGTCCTAGAATTAAAAACCTGGGATTTAGCGTGATAAGCTGCTTAAAACAGGTCCAGTCAACTGCTGCCCATCCATCAAAGTATGTGTGCGTGTGGGATACACTCAGTCTGACATCCTGTCCTTTCTAGATATGAAAAATTGAATATTTTGATTTTAACCTTTTTAGTCTTCATTTTTCTAAACAGAAGTCATGATTATAGTCTGTAATTTTTATTTCCTTGAGCACTTGTTGAAAGGTAATGTAAAATACCGAATCTCAAACATTTAATGTTATCTACTGCTAGTCAGACACCCAGAAGGACTCCTAACCACTCACTTCCTCCTCTAATCTACCTTCTTCCTTAGCTGTCTTCTCTCAGACAGGAGTTACTTCTGTCCTCAGGGTTAGAATCCTTGCTGGTTACTGGGCCTCCCCGGTGGCGCAGTGGTTGAGCGCTGGGTTGCGAAGCTGCCGGCGACCTCTGCGGCGCTGGTTCGATCCCCGGCTGCTCCCCGGCCACCTGAGGAGGGTCCCACATGGCGCGCAGACCTCTCCTGCCGCCCACTGCTCCCCTCAGCAGTGTACTTCGGTCCTTCTGCCTGCTCTGCTCCCCGCTCTGGCTCTGGTGAATTCTCTCACCCTCCCGCGCTTCTGACTCTACCCAGTGCTTGTATAAACAAAAACAAACAAATAAATAAATAAAACATGCCTCTATTAAAAAAAAAAAAAAAAAAGAATCCTTGCTGGTTACTCATTAGCCAAAGTTGTGAACTTGTCGAAAAAAAAAAAGATAATTTAGTTCATGATAGAAGTCATTTTTTAATTCAGTCAAGACCACTTTTCTTTCTTTCTTGAGATACAATATATTCTGAGTAGAATGCACTGATCACAAATGTTTAATTCCATTGGCTTTTACACTTATATATACCCACTGCTCAAACAAGATAGAGAAATTTCCGTTGTTCCAGAAAATTTCCTCTTGAGTCCTACTGTTCTGAACTGTAATTTCTTGCTATCTCCAGGATTTTTCCACCGTCACATTAACATTATGTTATTGTGGTGTCCTTTAGCTTTTGTATCCATTTTTTCCTTGCAGGAGACTGAAGAGCCAATTGTAGAGTGTCAGGAGTGTGAAACTGAAGTTTCCCCTTCACAGACTGGGGGCTCCTCAGGTGACCTGGGGGATATCAGCTCCTTCTCCTCCAAGGCATCCAGCTTACACCGCACGTCAAGTGGGACGAGTCCGTCAACCATGCACAGCAGTGGCAGCTCAGGGAGAGGAGCCGGACCAGTCAAAGGGAAAACCAGCGGGACAGAACCCGCAGATTTTGCCTTGCCCAGCTCCCGAGGAGGCCCAGGAAAACTGAGGTGCAGACAGGGTCTCCAGAGAGAGAGCCACAGCAGGGGAAGGGTTGCTGACATTTTTATATCACAGGAAAGGGGAGTAATGGGAAACCCCCCCATCCTCCATCTGGGATGAGTCAACTCCTCTTCCTCCCCTTTTGTTCCTCTATTTTGGGTTTGCATGAGAGTTCGGGTAGAGTCCGGTGCGAGCTAGGCTTCACTGGGAAAGAACTCTCAGAAAATGTTGCAAAACAGGTGGGGGACTCTGAGGATGCTGGCACAAACTCTTGCCACCTCCATTTTCTGCAGTCTTTTTTGGTTTGGAATACGGAGAGTTTGAGGTGGTGGCCCCCAAGTTGACACATCCCTTAGCTTTTTGTTATCCTTTGCAGGTGTTCAGAGCCTGAAGTTGAAGAAATGGCAGGGCAGAAATGGGTGTGCTGTCTCTGACAGCAGCAGTAGGGAGCTTGGTCAGGAGGGACTAGACACCCCAAGGGGAGGGTGTCCTTTACTACTGTCCTGTACTCCCCACTCCCCGACTGATAGTGATGGGGGTATGTGGGCCAACTTCCTGTTGCCCTAGAGGCCGAGCACATGTTCACCTGAGGGCCAAGGGGAGAAGAAAGGATTCAGTGGCAGGTGCTGTCAGACTAACCTATCTTCATTCTCTAGTCCTAGAAAAGGGGTCAGTCAGACAGGGGCGCCAGTGTGTGAGGAGGATGGTGATGCAGGCCTTGGCATCAGACAGGGAGGGAAGGCTCCAGTCACGCCTCGTGGGCGCGGGCGAAGGGGCCGCCCACCTTCTCGGACCACTGGAACCAGGTACCCGGGTAGTGTGAGATACACTTAGCCTGTGACTTGTTAGAAAAAAAGGGAGTAGAGAAAAGAGGGGAATTCAGAGTATGTGGGGTGTCAGGAGGGAGAAGAGGGGCCCACGTGACTGGGGAGTGGGCAGGGAGCACAGTGAGGCCACTGAGCGACCAGGCCTCTGCCTGTCTTGGGGTTATCAAAGAATGGGCTGAAGGAGTGGGGAAATCGGTAGACAAGTACTTCTCTCTTCCTAGTCTCACTGCCTTCTCCTGTCTCTCCTCTCTCTGTAGAGAGACAACTGTGCCCGGCCCCTTGGGCGTGGAGGACATCTCATCCAGTATGTCGCCAGACGATAAATCCTTCACCCGTATCACGCCCCGAGTGCCCGACTCCACCAAACGAGCAGACATGAGCTCTAGTGTTGTGCGTCGAAGCGACTCTCCAGAGATTCCCTTTCAGGCTGCTGCGGGCCCTTCCGATGGCTTAGATGCCTCCTCGCCAGGGAACAGCTTCGTGGGGCTCCGTGTTGTAGCCAAGTGGTCCTCCAATGGCTATTTTTACTCTGGGAAAATCACACGAGATGTCGGCGCCGGGAAGTACAAGTTGCTCTTTGATGACGGGTATGAGTGTGACGTGTTGGGCAAAGACATTCTGCTGTGTGACCCCATCCCGCTGGATACGGAAGTGACGGCGCTCTCGGAGGACGAGTATTTCAGCGCAGGTAATGACGGCGGCAGAGGCCAGATACTGACTGCCCTGGGCAGCCCTCTCCGGTCAGGAGTTCCCAAAAGCCCCACTCCAGCCTGATTACTTTTCTGGTCTCTACAGTCACAGATTCCATTCCGTCAACACTGGTGACTCAACCACTGGCTTTTTTATTTTTTGTTCTTTGTTTTTGAATGAACTTCTAATTTTGAAATATTTTTTATTTACAGCAAAATTGCAGAGTACTGAGTTCCTATATAGGCCTCACCCAGCTTTCCAGCTAACACGTTAACATGAGATGTTTGTGGCTCGTTACTCTTAACTAAACTGTGGGCATTATTTGGAGTTCACCAGCCGTGCCCTGTTCCTGTTCCAGGACACAGTCCAGGCTTACCCCCTGCTGTTAGTCCTCATATGTCCCTTGATCTGATCTGTGGCCGCTTCTGAATCTTTCTTGTTTTTCACGACCTTGACAGTTTTGAGGCGTACTGGTCAGGTATTTTGTAGAATGTTCCTTCATTCGGTTTGTCTCATGGTTTGTCCTGATTAAACTGGAGTTATGGGTTTTCAAAAGCAAGCTACGGAGGTGAAGCACCTTTCAAAACCGTTGTAAGGGGAGGCGGGTGTGTAAACACGCACAGCGCATGACTGGTGCGCAGGTTAAGGTGATGTGTGCCAGCTTTCTCTGCTGTAAAGTCAGTGTTCTCCCTTTCCAGTCTCTTCTTTCACCAGTGTCTTGTACTGCCTGCCTTGATGGAAACCAGCTAGGAAGCTATATTGAAATAATTTTGCTTAGGAAGTTGCTAGTGCCGTGTTTGTGAGATTGATGCCCATCATTTTGGTTTGTAGAATGACGTGCTCCCCCCCACACCCCCCAACCCCTTCTTCCCCCACTTTTTTTTGAAGTAGCCCGTTCACGGTGGATGGCGAGGGATTTCCTGTGATTGTTACACGTGCTGTAGTTCTCTGATGACATTGCGTTTTAGTGAACTCATCTGGAGACACGTTTATATTGAGTTTGTCATTTAAAGACATCTTTTGGGTACCCTATTATTTGTTAAATGGGCCATTTCACCTTGTAGTTCTGGAAAACTTAGCAGCACATGAATGGATGTCTTTTATGGCTCGTGACTTGGTTTGTATCAAATGCATTTGATGTTTCAGGGATAAAGCCTCTCTCGGAGGTCCCCGTTGGGCCCTCTGAAGTCAGACACCTCTGTGCAGAGGGGCTCATGGGCAGCAACGGGTGGGGATTGTGTCTCATTCATTGGGGCCGTTAGTGTCAACACTAGATTGCTTCTCTTTCCGGTAGCGCCGCATGGGAGTTTAGTCCACGGTAGGAAGTACCTTGTTGGCCTCGGTGCCTTGTGCTTTTGAGGGGGTTTGTATTTGGCCTGGCAGTAGTGAGTTAAGGTAGGAGATGCGTCCGTGAGGGAGAGAGGAGGATAGTGTGGCGGGGATAAGGAGAGCCAAGGCCTGTCTTCCCTGTGTTTCCACGGCGGCGCGCTCTCTGGTGCTCGCTAGCCTTCCGTTCCCGTGTCGGCTAATGGGAGAACCTTGTTTATAGGACTGAAAAAGTGTTCCGATTAATGCCCCGTGTTTACTTTGTGTCCGTGTGAACTGTTCACGGTGGATAGCGGGGACGGAGTGTACCTTTTACATGGGGGGCAGAGTCAGGTGTAGGCTGGGGCCTCCAGAATCCCAGCCCAGCTTCCTTCTGTCCCCCACATTTATGTTCCTCCTCACCCAAAGGGGTGAGCTTTCTGTAGTGGAGCAGGAGCAGGGACGGAAGATTAGGCAGGAGGAGCAGGGTTTGTTTTCTTCCGTTCTTTGTGTCTGTTTCTAGTACATAACAAAGGACAGGCACATGCTCTCAAAATCTCATGTCTCCTACAACTTAACTCAAAAATTATCACTTAGCTTTCAGACAGCCAAGAAGAACAGACTTAGTAAGTCATAATGGGATCATTAAGAAGCCATTTCACTTCCAGAACCATTGGGCCCACTAACAGCTCATGGAGACCGACTCTAGGAAGCCTGATAACTAAAGGCCTCCTCCTGTTGAGACACTTCCCATGTTGTGGAAACTACTCAGGGATGCATGGGTAGTTGTCTGTACCCTAAATATTGTTGCCTGGGATTCACAGTTGGGATTTTAAGTTCTAACTTGGGTCCACTGTTTGAGCTCCTGGTTCCCCGACTCAGACCTGCTCTGCAGAGCCTGGTGAGTGGATGCTGAGGAGCCTACAACAGCAGCAAGCCTTCTTTTCCCCACCCAGGTGTGGTAAAAGGGCACAGGAAGGAGTCTGGAGAGCTGTACTATAGCATTGAAAAAGAAGGTCAGAGGAAGTGGTATAAGCGAATGGCGGTCATCCTGTCCTTGGAGCAAGGAAACAGACTGAGGGAGCAGTATGGCCTGGGCCCGTATGAGGCAGTAACGCCCCTCACCAAGGCCGCAGATATCAGCTTAGGTAAGACCTTTGGCCCCCATTTTGCTTTTGGTGGGAGGAGTGGTTTCTAGAGCAATTGGTAATGCTTCCAAAATCTTCGATTCCTGTGTGGCATATGAGAAGGTGATACGTTGTCGTTCTCTGGCCTTGCTGCCTACCTCTGGTAAAGACTAAAACAAAATATGGTGACCTTAACAAGAGGTTCCTGCCCCCACGGGAGGTGGAGGAAAGGGCACAGTGGTAGCTGGTCATTCTGCCCAGCTTTTTGGAGTTCAGGGCCTCAGACCATGAGAGTTGACCAGTATTTGGCTTATCCTATCAGACAATTTGGTGGAAGGGAAGCGGAAACGACGTAGTAACATCAGCTCTCCAGCCACCCCGACTGCCTCCAGCAGCAGCAGCAGCACAACGCCTACCCGCAAGGTCACCGAAAGCCCTCGTGCCTCCGTGGGAGCTCCCTCAGGTAAAAGAAAACTCATCGTATCTGAAGAGGAACGGTCCCCTGCCAAGCGAGGCCGGAAGTCTGCTACTGTGAAACCCGGTGAGTGCGCCCTTCTGCCTCAGTCTCTGTGAGACCATGGTGGACTATAGGGCCAGCTGCTATGTGGCTTCAAAGTTGGGGTCCTGAAGAAGCCCACAGGTAGTACCCAGAGACAGCTTACTGTATCCAGCTCTTCCAGCCCCCCAGATCTACCATCAGCCTAGCAAGGGCAGAGAGAGGCCATGTCTCAATCACAAACGCTCATTGACTCCCATGTAGGTTTTTAGGAGGAAAAGTACTGACTTTTAAGCAAATGCAAATTAGGTAAAATATGTCTTTCTTTACTTGGCACTGTCTTCTACTTCTGGAAGTTCTGCTCCCCCCTCCCTTATACTCAAGACCCTGACTTTCCCATACTTTGTCTTGAAAGCTTATTCCTCAGCCTGCATCTCCCCTGCTCTCCTCAGATAGTCCCTTCCCAGCCCTCATGCTTCCTGTGAACAGTGGTGTAATTCGCCTGTTGTTTACTGTGTCCGTGGCCCAGCCCCGGCTGCTGTGGCTTCTGGAGAGACAGGGAGAACCCTCTGTCTAGCAAACTGATGTTCATTGGTTGGTCCACTGTCCTGGCACCAGAGTTCCTTTTCTTGCCTGTATCTGAGCTGTGTGATCTGTGTTTCAGGGATGAGAGGCACGGGACTCCGTGCTTCATATACATTTCCTCATACAATTCCTGAGGGTGTAGGTGCTAGAATGTTTTCCAGTGGAAGAATCTGAGGCACAGAAAAGTTGGCCAGCTTTCCCCAGGTAACACACAGAGAGCCAGAATTCAAACTCAGGCAGTCTGACTTCAGAGTCCAGGCTCATATATCCTATATCAGACTATTCTCTTGCTGCTGGTTTTATTTTAGGGAGACATGCCCTGTCTGTCATCTTAGCTTCTTAATGAGCCTACGATTCAGCTTCTCCAAGTCAGGTATCTGTTTTCTTGAGGACATATTGGGGCACTCCAGCATGGGTGTTCTGGGAGTCCTGGACTGGCCATTCACTTAACCTTCCTAACCGCAGGTGCTGGAAACTGGGGTCACTGAAGCAGGCTATTGGGAGGTGGCTCTGTCAACGTGTAAGAATACTTCAGTGCCGAGTATTCCATGCACCATCCTGGTGAAGGCCCTGGGCAGGGTGGGAGTAATTGCTGGAGCTCTTTCATGTAATAAAAGCAGGGGTTTTATTTTGTCTTGCTTTATTTTTAAGGTTACTTCAAAATACCACCTATTGGGGAAATCAGCACTGAGCACAAGATTTCCAAACATTTATACTCTTACCTAATCTTTGTATTAGAGCCAATTCTTTCTTCAGATGACCTCAGAAGTACTTGGTTTATTTGTATAAAACCAATATTAGTTGATTTTCACTTATGACAACATTATACATTGTTTTCATAACTACGTAAAATTTAAATACATAAGGTCAGCATCTCCTAGGTTGTTGATCTTAAGAATGGTGTTTGGTTTATAGCTCCAAAAAATTCAAGCCCTTGCCTGTCCACCTCATGCTTGGTGGTAGGACCCGTGCCCAGGCAGTGGTCCGTGTCGCTCTAGTAACTGTTGTGCCCCTGTGCTTCCAGGTGCGGTGGGAGTGGGAGAGTTTGTGAGCCCTTGTGAGAGTGGAGACAACATGGGTGAACTTGCCACCCTGGAAGAGCAGAGAGGGCCTTTGCCCCTCAACAAGACCTTATTTCTGGGCTATGCTTTTCTACTCACCATGGCCACGACCAGTGACAAGCTGACCAGCCGTTCAAAACTCCTAGATGGTCCTGCAGGAAGCAGTGAAGAGGAGGAGGGTAAGGCCCTGGGACATCCTGGGCATCTGACATGTGCTTTTCCTTCCTGTCCACTTACTTCGAGTCTAGTGGCCCCTGCCAACTGTACAGGAGGCAGAGCAAGTGGCAGCTGGTCAGAGAAAATTAATTTTACCCTGCTTCTCAGTCTATGGACTGGTTTCACAGAATTTTCTCAGTGGGTCATCAAAGCAATACTATGAGGCAATTGGGAGCTAGATTTTACCATCCACGTTACGGAGAGGAAACAAGGTAGGAGAAGATAAAGAATTGCATTTTTCTGTGATGTTACAGTAGGGTTGGGAGTAGAACCCAGCATTTGCTCTGTTACAAGCATTCAGGACAAGGTAGCTGAGTGCTCTGCCATCTTTCCCATTTGTGTTCCAGGGTGAGCTTCATTCTCGTGAGGTTTTTAAGACTGGGACTGTGGAGTGCTCCAGGGTGATTTCAGAGAAAATCAGCTGCTAGGCTCTTTCAACTCTCGTACCTCTCTTTAACTTGAAACCAAGTCTGCCTACACCTGGTGTTTCTACATTGTTACTTAGGGTTTGAGTAAAGGCTGCAGTTGGGAGAGGTAAAAATTTTAGCTGTCTAAAGTCAATGTGAACCAGAAAGGTCTATAAAAGTTAAAGATCTGTGTGAAATGATGTTCTACAAGTTAAGTGTTCTGACTAGTGTTAAGTCTTGTAAGAGGAAACTGAGTTAAGGAACATGGTTATCATAAAATGTGATGGTTGGCATTTCAGGTACGGAATGATTCTTTCCTAATTAACCAAAACTGTACCTCACCTGCTGCAGGCCACAGGGAGAGGTACATGGGTAGGTGGTCAGGGAGCTGGGTAGAGGTGTGTGCTATCGGTAAACAGCTGGCAGTAGAGAGGCTTTAGGGTACGGGAGCAGGTGTGGCAGTTCCAAGGGCGCACAAAACCTCATTTGTCCGAAGTCAGTAAGGTACAGCGGGAGAGAAGGTGTGGCATGAATGTAGCTTTAATTGGATCATCTTATGGCATTACAAATAATGTCCTGATCTTTTTTTCTTGTTGGACCCTGGCCTTTATTCCCTAACACACTCCTGACCCTTCCCTAGCCCAGGATCTTACAAGGCAGCTCTGCAGATGTTTCATTTGTTGGTTTGGTTGTCGTATCCGGTCACAGGCAGGACGGCCTGCTCTGGTATAATACGCAGCTTGCTCAGTGCTTGAAAACTCTTTGAGCCTGTGTGTATCTAATAAACTCGACTCAGATATCCCCTCCACTCCTCCCTGCTAATACAGCAAACATTTGTAAACTCATGTAACCACAAGTGAGGGGAAGTAGGTCTTGTCTAAATGAGGACTCTAGAACGTTTAGAGGAATCTCCAGGTTTCTCGTTAAATTGGTTGTGGTGACTATGTCTGTTTTATGTTGCTGCTTCAATCTTGGACCAGAATCCTTGCTGTTTTGGGCATATAAAAATGCTTAGGGCTTCCGCCATCTTAGTAAACCTGATGACATCTGTAGTGTTTTAGGGTTTTCAAGAAACAATGATCTGTCTTGCAGACAAATGGGAATCTTAGATGCCAGTTTATATTGTATCTTATGAGACACTAATAATAAGAATATGGCACCTGGTCTTGTTAGGTGGCCCATTAACATTAGCCACAGGGATTGAGTCAAGTCTGTTTAGCAGCTTTATCCTTAATTTAGATGATGGGATTAAAAACTTTTCATTTAAGACTGGCTGGGCAAGGCTACTCCTAAGTCAAAAAAAAAAAAAAAAAAAAAAAGCAAAGGAAATTAAATCGAAGCTAGTTAAGAAATGGATTGCATAGACAGGGTAATATTTGATTATACAAGTGCAAGGAAATACAATTGGAAATACCTCATCTCCATAGGTTAGGACTAGAGAAATAATGGACCTTAAGGGGCCATGTGTTAGTAGCAGTGTCAGTACTGAGAACTGGCGTCATATATTGGGATGGATGATGCAAAGGAAGCAATAAGAAATAGGCCTGTTATGTTCTGCGTGTTCTCATGTCTATAGAGTTTCTAGTTTGGGTTTTCATTTTGAGAAGAACCAAGAATGTTCAATCAAGAACAGAACAGTGGGGCCTCCCCGGTGGCGCAGCAGTTGAGCGCTGGGTTGCAAAGCTGCCCGCAGCCTCTGCAGCACTGGTTCGATCCCCGGCCACTGGCGAGGGTCCCACATGGCGCGCAGACCTCTCCTGCTGCCCGCTGCTCCCCTCAGCAGTGTATTTCGTCAGTCTGCCTGTTCTGCTCTCCCTTCTGGCTCTGGTGAATCCTCTCACCCTCCTGCACTTCTGACTGTACCCAGTGCTTGTATAAATAAATCAATCTTTAAAAAAAAAAAAAAAATGAACAGTGAAGAGTAGGTGAGCCAGTCAGATAGAGGACTGAGTTTGGGCATTATCTGAGCAGCTTCAGCAGGCAGGGAGGGCTCCACTCTCGGGTCATCACTGGATATGGGGGGGAGGGGAAAGGGTTGTGGCATTTGAACTTTGGGTTTTTTATTTGTGATAAGTTTACTAGAACTTAAAGTGTTGTCAACTGCTCCTCTCATAACTGAAATTAGATACTTGGTCAAAATAATCAACTTTTAATTGCTCTATGGTCCTTATAGCTTCGGCCTCATCGCATAACTTCTACTTCCCCCTCAACCCTGTAGAGCAGTCATGCTGTTCAGTCATGTACTCCAAGATCAAAGGTAGATAGTTTAATAAAAAGTCTGAAACAGAATTTTCTGGCCAGCCTTCATGTAACTAAAATTTTAAAACTTTTAACATTCTGGTTTATCATTTTCAGTGTATAGTGGGAACGTGAAGGTTTGATTATAAAGTGCTAATCTGTGACTCATTTCATAGAATTACAGGAAGTGGCTTAGTTTGCTGCAGGACTTAAGAAGTTCCTGATAGTAAATGCATCACTCTGGGAAGGGGCTGTGGTCCTCCCTATGAACAGTACCATGATTAGTCTTAGATCTGGGACCTATCTCCATTTCTCATCTTCCCAGTCCTCCTGCTTTTGCCCCTTCTTCTGGCTATACTTCATAGGCCTCAAGACAGATCTCTTTCTGACCCGTGAGTAGGTCTGATGTAGCCTGCAACACTGTGCAAATAATGGGGAGTGGCAAAGGGGACAGTGAGAAGCAGGCGTAAAGTAGTAAATGAGAAATGAAATAATTATCTTGGTCTTCTGTGTTTTATATAGAAATTTTAGAAATTCCTCCTTTCAACAAACAGTACACAGAATCCCAGCTTCGAGCAGGAGCTGGCTATATTCTCGAAGACTTCAATGAAGCTCAGGTGAGGAGTTTCTTTCTGCAACTTACCAGAAGGGCAGTGATGAAGAGTGTTTGCTGTATTGAGGAGTCAGGGAGGTTGAGTATAGCAGCCAGAGCTCAGAAGATGGCCGAAACGGTAATGCAGAAATAGAATCGTTACTGTGTACACGGAAGATAAAACGTTGGGCTAATTAATACCTATGGTTCTGCTGCTCGGGCAGAAGCAGACTGAATTGTGTTTAGAAGAAATTCTATTATGTTGCTGATTCTTAGCCCGAAAAGCAGAATACCGGGAGGCTGGTTTTCTTTTAGGACTTAAACCCTCAAAGCTATAGGTGAGGCACAGAAAGAAAGCATCTTGGCCCTTTCTGTGTGAGAAGAGGCTGTGGGTAAAAGTACAGGCATAAATAGTACTTGCAGGTCTTCACATCTGTTCTATTCTTCCAGTGCAACACGGCCTACCAGTGTCTCCTAATTGCGGATCAGCATTGTCGAACCCGGAAGTACTTTTTGTGCCTTGCCAGTGGGATTCCTTGTGTATCTCATGTCTGGGTCCATGACAGTTGCCATGCCAACCAGCTTCAGAATTACCGTAATTATCTGCTGCCAGCTGGGTACAGTCTTGAGGAGCAAAGAATTCTGGATTGGTGAGTATTTGAAACCCAATCTAGAATGGTAGTCAAGCAGATAATAAAATACTGGGAGGGGGAGACTCTAGGTGAGAAATTATTTATGGAAATTGCAATGCTCATAGGTTAATAAAGAATTTGGGTTTGAGATTATTTTGGCAGTTCAACTAGTTGAACTTTCAAAAATGGGAGGATTTTCATGTAGGTCCAGTATTCTCAACCTGTAAGGTTAGGGCACTATTAAGCAAGACCTTTTAAAATATGGGATCAGGAGCTTATTTGGCATATTGGTCCCAAGATAAACATGGAAATCAGAAGGTCCAGATTCCAGAGAATACATATTCACAGAAAGGGGAGGGAGGAAAGGTTCTATAATACAGGGGTTCATTTTTTTTTAAAGTATTCTGATGTACCTTAAATTCCTTCGCAGAAAGGCTGTTGTTGAACACTGTCCTGCTTAGTCCCCTCCAATTCTAAGGTGCTGTCTCTCACTTACTCACAGGCAACCCCGGGAAAACCCTTTCCAGAACCTGAAAGTACTCTTGGTATCAGACCAACAGCAGAACTTCCTGGAGCTCTGGTCTGAGATCCTCATGACTGGGGGAGCAGCCTCTGTGAAGCAGCACCATTCAAGTGCCCATAACAAAGGTACCTGGAAAGTGCGTGTGTTGTTTTGGAAGGGTGTCCTTACACCTACCTGTTAGGCCTCGTTAGGTGTGAATAAACATCAGCCTAAGAGGTGAACCAGTTTAAATGAGGCACTGGGATGTTTATACTTCTACTGGTGGTGTCCAGTGATGTACTTGCTGACATTTCTAAAGGTCAGCTGATACCGATTCTTTCTGTTCTGGGTTGTGATCCCCAGTAGCACTGTGTTGGACTTAATGGGTTTTAGTTTGGGCAGGGAGGGATGTGCTGGCTAGAAGGCACATCTGGCTCTTTAGCGGAGGGCTACATGGCGTCTCCTTACCTTATTCACCTCCCCCTGCTCCCTGCAGATATTGCGTTAGGGGTATTTGATGTGGTGGTGACGGACCCCTCGTGCCCAGCCTCGGTGCTGAAGTGTGCGGAAGCATTGCAGCTGCCCGTGGTGTCACAAGAGTGGGTGATCCAGTGCCTCATTGTTGGGGAGAGAATTGGATTCAAGCAGCATCCAAAATATAAACATGATTATGTTTCTCACTAAGGATATACTTGGTCTTACCTGTTTTATTCCCTGCGTCGTGGAGATTGTGTTTTAACAGGTTTTAAATGTGTCTTGTGTGTAACTGGATTCCTTGCATGGATCTTGTACATAGTTTTATTTGCTGGACTTTTATGATAAAATAAATGTTGAATCTCTTTGGTTGTAGTAACTGGGATTTCTTTCTTTGAGTTTAATGTCAGAACAAATAGCAAGACAATTACAGCCCTCCTCTGCCATTGACAATAGGTTTGTTCACTGTAGGACACTAGCCAAGGAAAGTAAGATGTGAATTTTCAAGTCTTGTGTAGCATTATTGTCAGAAGATTATCTAGGGCTGTCTAAAATTCTACTTGTAAAACTTGGTTTTACGGTAGGCCCACATTAATGGTTGTGCCGAAAGTTGAACGGAATTGGGAACAGCTCTAAATTTCTTGGCGATTAAGGAAAAAAAGTCTTAGAGCCTAGTTCCTTTCAGACCTGAAAGGGAAAAGGACCATTTGCCATGAATGGACAGTGACTAAGCTTGACGGGGTGACCTTCTGCAAAGAAAAACATGAGCAGCACAGGTGGGAAGACTTGTCAGTACTTCTAGCCTCAGGTCCTATATTTTATTACTGTTACAGTCACAGTTGCCAGAGGCTATTCTCCTTCCCTGTCCCCCTAGCAGCATCCCTGTTGATGTTCCCTCGTTCTCCAGAGCAGAGGCCAGTAAGTATCTTAGGCCTGTGGGCCATTTGGTAGATCAATTAACTCACTTTGGCTCCGCTAAGCATGGAAGCGCCCATGGGCAATAAGGAGATGGATGAGTATGATTGTTCCAGTAAAACTATCAAAACAGGTGGCGACCCACAGTTTACTAACCTCTGCTCCAGAGAGAGGAGTGGAAGGGAACATCTTTTGCTGACAACTGCAGGAGTAAGGGCTGTAGTATGCGGTAGAAGATGAAAACCAAACTCGATGGCAACAAACAGACCACCAGAACTGTTGTTTTACTAGTCTGAGATAATTGCAAGTTACTGGTAAAAATCTAGTTTCTATTTTGAAGATGCTAAACGATGTGGAATATTCTCGATTTCAATTTTCTGAATGAGGAGTCTGTGGGGCCAGTGAAAGCCTATCTTACCTGGTGCCTTTCTTGCTCAGTACTAATATCTAGCACTTGACCTATTTATAATTGTCACATGAGCCACAAATATTTTTCTGATTTGTATTGTTTACTGCCTTGTCTCCTGCAGCTTGAACAGTACCTAAGCACATAATAGATGCTCAGTAATTGACAGATGAATGAATGAACATACCCGACAAATGTTCTCAATGTAACGGATCTTGCATGGTCAGCGGGGAGAACTGATGCCAACATTCTCGGTGGGCAAATTAACTCCCTTTCCACATGAAAATGATGGGAAGGATTTGCACCCACTGATGGTCAGGAAATGCTTCCAAGGAGAAAAAGTAGAGTCCTCTCAGTAGACTGCAGACATTTGGTGAGTGGCTAGAAATGAATCTTCTGTAACAGACTTAGGAAGGTGTAAGACTGTTACTCAGTTTCTGAGCCATATGTTTTCACATCCCAAAACTAGAAAAAAGGGGGAAAAAAGCTTTATCAAATATCTTGCTTTCTCAAGAACTGTCTTCAAAGAAATGTGATGAGGGCAACTCTGATCTAGATAATGACATTTTAAAACTCAAAATTTCGCCTTTTCGGCTAAAATCACTTAGGGGGAAAAAGATGGGATATTTTAGAGGGAAGGTGGATACTAAAGTGCTTTTTTTTAAATGGGACAGACCTCAGAAGCTGTCACTGAACCTCACTATTAAATGAAAAATGGTTTAGCTTTAGAAATGGGGGGGGGGTGTCTCTCTCCTTTCACAGCTGTGGAAGTGTGGAAGCTGGGGCCCGCCACCTCAGGCTGCACAGCCAATTCCACCCAGTGTAGTACCTCACCAGGAACTTAACTATCTCCGTGTTGGTGCTAGGACTGTGCTATCATGGTGACTTATGCTGGAAAGAAATCTTCATTAACATTTAATGATAATTAGGTACACAGTTCTTTATCTCTGAGTCTAGTTTCTGAAGTGAGAATATTTACATAAAGGCAGACTATTTAAACTAGATAATGGTTAGTTTCCTTCCTGCTCTGGAATTATGTAGCTCATTGAAAAGCCACACACACAAAGTCTACTGGGTTCCCCAAGTTTCTCCTACCTGCCCAGAGTTCCTCCAGCCTGGGTGTAATATTTGTTATAATCCAGTCGTAACAGTAGTTGAGCCAAATCTGAATTTATCTGATGGTTCCGAACACTGGAGAGAATCTTGAAGAGGAGTGAAGACTGGCGGCTAAAGCCCTATAGAGAGAAGGACTCAAGCTGTCAAAGGCACCGTCAGCTCTTAAGATGACCGACTGCTTAGTACCCACAGCACATGACTTCCTGTGCCAGGAGCACAATTTGTATGTTCTCCTTCAAAATTAACGTATCAGAATTGAGGAAAGCCCGTGTTTGGTACCAAAAGCAGGCAGGTCATTACACTCTAAAATATGGAGTTAGCGCAAGGAAGTAAAGAGGTTGAATAAGAAAGGGCAAACAAAGCCAGTCTGTACTTGGTGGGCCAAGTAAACAGGGCTGGACTATGTTTCAACACTCAGGCAGCACAGAATTATGTTTCTGAATCAACTGACCCCAACGTTTTTATCTTTGCATCTTTTTCTGCTTAAACGTATTGGGGAAATGCTCTGTTGATTCAGAGATCACCCCTCTCCGTTGGTAAAACCACCACTGTCCTTTGGTCGGGGCTGACTCACCTTCACCAGGATGCTCAGCTGGGCGGCTCCACGCTCATCCAGTGGGCCCAGGTTCTGACTGACCAGGGAGCAAAAGCTGTGACAGAGATCTAGGATTTCATTCAGGCAGTGAAACACCTGTCCAGAAAACAGTGGTCATTAGGAAAAGAAGGAAGATACGTCTGTAAAGTTAAAGATCGGGAAAGTTATCCCGCAGTTGGCTTAGTCCCATTCTCCCACAGCTGACCTCAGGAGAGGCAATGCCAGATGCAAGTCCTGCCAGCCCCCCTCAAAATGCTACAAACTTTTCTGATGAAGAGGCTGGCGTTCCCTTAGTCACCCCTGGACAAAGCCTCCACTCTCTAAGCACATTCATCATTTCTGGGACCCGCAGTGTCCTCCCGCCCCAAGCTGTTTCCAAGGTTCCCTGTGCCCAGGACGCTCAGTACCAGTTTCGGCCCCGTGCTCTCAGTGGGGCATCAGCGCCACGTAGTCTTAGTGACCCTGCTTCTCTCTCCGCATACCTGTGCTGTTCACGTGGCCATTTGTTCAGGCCTCCTGTGTTGTTACTGATCTGTGTTGCGTATGTATGTCTTGTTTCTCCAACTAGATTGTGAGCTCCTTAAGGGCAGAGCCATGACTTATACCTCGTTGTATCCCCAGTGCCTTGCATATAGTAAGCACTCAATAAATATTTAATGATGACCACCTGATGTGATACTTGGCTTTTCTCCCAGGATGCACTCATGCCATACAAGGACGGGGTTCTGTCACAGTAGCTCTTGATGGTTTTCAATTCATAGGACCCTTTGAGGGTGGCAGCTTTATAAACTCACTCTCCTGTAGTGCAGCAAGCAAAACAGCCCCAGATACCAGGATAGAGAAGTCTGTGGGACTTGTGGTGTGGCACAACTGAGGGGTAACCACTAGCTCACAGCAGAGATAGTGTGTGTGTATATATATTTTTGAATCTTCAAGGGGTCATTTCAGTCTTCCTGCTTTTTATCTAGGAACTGGAACCATCTTGTGAGTTTTAAAAAATGCTGGTGCTTGGATCTTACTCCAGGGATTCAAATTTAAGTGCTGTAGGTACTAAATTTTTTAAAGTTCCCAGATGTTCCAGCATGGACCAAGGCTGAAAATAACTTCCCTGAAGGAGATAATATGTACTTGTTTGACACATACAGAGGAAGCCACTATTCCAACTGTCTGTGAAAATAACTTTCGAAAATTGGTATATCTTCATCTAAAAGATTTCTAAGAAAATAATTCCGCATACTTTTTGGTGACCTTTCTGTGGTGTCAGAAAAGTTTTAAACATTTAAATCCTCCAGAGGGATAAGCACATATACTTTCATTTTTAGCTCTCACCACACCCTGTGATAGTTCTGTTCCCCACTCTGTCTCTGGTGAATCCTCTCACCCCCCACCACCTCTGGCCTATACCCCGGTTCTTGTATAAATAAATCTTAAAAGATTTTAGGGCCTCTCTGGTGGTGCAAGGGGTTAAGACACAACCTATGAAGCTATCTGCAGTCACTGCAGCACGAGTTCGATCCCTGGCCAGAGAGCTACCCACATGGCACAGCAGACCTCTCCTGACTCGCCCACTGCTCCCTTCAGCAGTGTACGTAAGTCAATCTGCCTGTTCTGTTCCCCACTCTGGTGACTTCTCTTACCCCCCCACACCTCTGACCTGTACCCCAGTTCTTGCATGAATAAATTTTTTTTTTTAAGATTTATTTATTTGTTTGTTTGTTTATACATACAAGCACTGGGTATAGTCAGAAGCACGGGAGGTGAGAGAATTCGCCAGAGCCAGAGCGGGGAGCAGAGCAGGCAGAAGGACCGAAGTACACTGCTGAGGGGAGCAGCGGGCGGCAGGAGAGGTCTGCATGCCATGTGGGACCCTCCTCCGGTGGCCCGGGAGCAGCTGGGGATGGAACCGGCGCCGCATAGGCTGTGGGCAGCTTCGCAACCCAGCGCTCAACCGCTGCGCCACCGGGGAGGCCCAATAAATAAATCTTAAAAAAAAAAAAAGATTTTAGAAATTCAAAGACGTTTGTTTTGTTTTACAAATTTTTTAAAGTATGTAAAAATGAGACGGGAGAATTTACTAGTTAGTTTCATATGGTGGCAACTCAAAGTGCCTAAGGGAACAGAGAGGCTAGAAGCAGCCCTACTTACAGGTTTCAGCAAGATAAAGGACTGGGCCAGCAAATTGCTCAGGAAGTGGTCATGAGCCAATCGGATGCTTTCAAAATCTCGTGTTGAATTGATCTGATGAAGCAGCTGTGAGAACTGAGACTCCAGCACATCTACCTGAGAGACAGTTACACGCAGAGTTTTAGCACCTTGCATATTCTAACCAGTCAAGGACATTCAGGTGCCTGGCTGGATAAAATAGATGTTATTTACACTCACCTTCCTCTTATCTAAGTTAAGTGTACAGCTGAGCAAAGACACATATTGCCTAGCCTTGTAGCAAGTCACTTGCCTAATTCTAACCTGCCAAGGCGCCCTGCCCCAACCCAATCCTGTCCAAATCGCTTTGGCTAAACTGGCTTGGTTAAGTCCTATAGGATTCCAGAGACTACCACAAACTGTTAAGAGTCAAGTTATCAATAACTAAGTAATGCATTGATAAGGACCACCCCCATTCTTCATTCTCCACCTGTTTATAGCCACTGTCCTCTAAAATGCCCCTAAGTAACAGGTCTAGTAATACAACCTGTGACTCTCCTCAAACCCCAGGATTGCAGTTCCTCTTCAAAAATTGACTTCTTTTCATACCCTTCCTTCTACTCATCCCCTGGCTCGGACCTGGAGATAGTACTGAAGATTATCCACTAAGAATGCCATGTGGTTTCGTAGGCGCCACTTGACTGCATCGGTCTGGTTGGACTTGAGGTGCTTGCGCTGCATCTGTAGAGCCCAGCAGTGCTGCAGTTCAGCTTGCACCCGGCGCACACTCAGTAAGTACTTAAAAACAACGTTGTATCTAGGACATTAATAGTCGGTTATTCAAGGTATAAAAAGTTCACTTCCCGTCCCTACCTGCATGAAAGCCCCTAGAACTTGTGCCACCCACCCGTCCCCCAAAAAGGCAGACAGGAAAGAATGGCTAGAGTTGGACCAATGAACTGTGGCTTATTTATACAATGGAATATTACACAGCAACCAAAATGGATTCTGTGTCCCTCCCTCCCCAAAAATTATAGCTTGGTACTTTTTAAAATAATGCTTAAAACAGAAAAAAAAAAAAAGGTCTATCTTTGGGGAGTAGATAGCTGTTACAAAACATGCTAAACATCTAGAGAAAAAACATGGAATTTAAAATAGTACCTTAGGTTGGAGGAGTCAAGGGGTCAAGACTAGGAAGGACCACACAAATATATGTATATTATTTTCAGTGTTGTAGTTTTTGTGGGGGGGGGGCGGTGTGTGGGTGTGAGAGAGAGAGAGAGAAGGGAGGATGAAGGATCTTGTGAGGATGTAAGAAGAATGTATTTTGGTTAATCTAATAATCTGTCCTTGAATCCCAAAGAGAAAATAAAATTGAGGGATCCCCTTAGTGCGTTCAAACTCCTGCCTTCCAGTCTAGGGGCCTAATGCTCAGCCCCATGCTAAGACATTCATGCCTGGTAGAACTGTGTGTATTCACTTGTTTTTAGGCGAGTTTACAGAAAATCTGATTCCATTTGTTTTAAAAATTGTCTATTTCTAATGGAACATGCCGCAGCATAGTACATCTGGTTTGGATTTGATTTGAACAAATCCCACCACAAATGACATTTTTAGATAACTGGGGAAATTTTAGTGTGGGCTGGATATTAGACAATAAGGAATTATTAAATTTATCAGAATGATGGCATTTATGTTAAGAATATGTTCCTTTTTTTACATAAAGAAAAAGTTTATTGAGGAGAAAAGGGACAGAAATAAAGTGGGACTCCCAGGCTGGTGGAACCAGGCCAGGGAGGGGCACGGAAGCCCCAAGAATATGTTCTTTTTGAACTGCATAGTCTGAAGTCAAATGACATGTCTGTGATGTGCCTCATAAAGTGCCAGCCAAAAAAAAAAAAGGCAGCATAATGTCAGTGGTCAGTGAAGCTAATGCATATGAGGAGTTTGTTATAGTCTACTTTTGCTTATATTTGGAACTTTTTATAATAAAATTTAAAAATAAGCATAATTTCTTCAACAGTGTTAAGAGCATACAAGTTAGGAGCTAAGTGGTTTGTGTGCTCATGGGATGCTGAGCGCCATGGGGACAAGGTCCATGCAGCTGACTTTGGTGGCTGTGGGCTCTGAATCTCCCACAGAACCTTCTCCCTAGACAAGCCTCATCTTTTCCAGGTTATAGTATCATACGCTAATTTACTCTCCCCCAACGCAGAGAGGGTTGTGAAGACAACAGGGAGGATGAAGAGGAGCCCTTCTGTTCGTTTGTTGCCTTTTCTCCACGCATCTGCCACAACCGAGCACGATGGGGTCTGTTCCCCAGCCTTGCCAGTGCCCCAACCAGTGAGTGAGTTTGGAAAGTCCATTAAAATGGTGCGGGTGGGTTTCACAGGCCACTACCAGCCCTGCCTGCTTCCGCCAACTCCTTTCCCTACAACTCTAGTTCCCCCGTTTTGTAGGGCTGGAGGTGCAAACAGCACTTCCTGCTGCCCCTCCCTAGAGGTGAGGAGGCATCTCTCACGTGGCTAAAAGTCCACAGACAACTCTTGGGTCTTCCCAAGTAAATCAATAAAGAATTACCAAAGTTAGTGTGAAACCTAGTCAGAGCTGATGAATAACTAAGGGCCAGCCTTTCACTGGGGTGCCCAAGACTTTCTCAGAGTTTACAAAGTGGAATCCTGTAAATTATTATTTTGCAGGTAAACAAACCAACCCGCCTTCCCCCAACTTTGTGGCTTTAAGGATTTGACCCTGCTGCCCACTCCAGCATCCACCACTCCCTATTGTAGGACTTCTGAAACTTAACAGTATTCTCTCTCCATCCCCCAAAGGCATTTGAGTTTACATCTGATTTGCTGTCTGTTAAAAACTAGCTGAGTGGCTAGCTTGTGCCCACCAATTTATTCCCTTTGGAGAATATTTACCCATGAAAAGCTCAGAAGTACTCACTTTTCCAGGACTGCAGGGGTGAAGAGGATGTGTAGTGGCCATTGCACTTTGTAGGAAAGGCCAAGGGCTGCCCAGCCAGATGCAGGGGCTTCCCGGGGAGAAGTTTCCCGAGAAGGCCCTTCTCTTGCCTGAGTGGCATCTATTAAGGGGAGAAAGGACAATCCTGGTAATCTAGACATGGCCTTTCACCAAGGTGAGTACCAGTCATGCAGTGATGGCTCATTCAAGCCCGTGCCACCAGAAGCATCAAGGGGACTCAGGGAACTTGCAGGGGACAAGGGAGCATCTGTGTGAGCTGCTCTCAAGAGCTCTTTTAGAGATTCTTTTTCCAGACCGCAAATCCAGTGACTGGAAATAGAGACCATTCCAGGAGCACAACCAAATTGCCTGAGCATTGCACTTAGCTCTCTGCACCTTCCTTTTCTGCCATGTAAAAGGAGCGCACTGGACTACGTCTCAAATATGTGATTTCTGTGGAGGTGGACAGAAGCCATGGTGGAGAACAGATGGTGGCCAGTAGGAGTGCAAAAGGTGCCAGAAAGAAGACGAACCTTTATGCTCCTTTCCATGGTAGTCAATTGTCAAGTGCAACAGAGGGAGAAGGTTGTCGTCATCGAGTAATACCTTGTGGGCGGACTGCTGGAAGGCCACGTTCACATCTGCAAGGAAGAACGGGCTGCCAAGAATGCTCTGCGGCAACACCCAGGCCCCTCTGGCTTCCCACTTCGCCCCCAGACGGCCAGTGCTGACAGCAGGATGGGGCGGACATAGGCTGTTTTTTGCCTGACTAGCACACACTCCTTTCCCTGCTGGTAAAAGCTCCCCAATAGTCCTTGGAGAATCACCTCCACCCAGTAAAATCCTGTAGTTCTAGTGGGGTTGACAACACCTGGTCCTAAGTAGGCAAGAGACCCAGGCATGGTCAGTTGGAATGAACACTTGACCTCGTGACACTGTTTTGTTCAGGGAGCCGAACATGACTCACGCCAGGCTGTACCGACTTTGAAAGAGTGTAGCTCTTTCTTTTGAGATAAACAGGGATATAGTAGGATATAAGCTTGGCCGGGGGGTCATCCTGCTGCCATAAGGAGCAGGCCTGACAAGGCAGAGGTGAAGGACGTAATGATACCTAGTCCTCAAGGCATCATGCGTGCTTCTGGCTCAAAATCTGCCTAAAGCCAGCATACTTGAGACCTTTTCAGTTATGAGAATCATTATTCTTCTTTTCCCTACCTTTTGAGTTGGCACTGAGATTTCTGATACTGGCAACTAAAAAGTTTCCACAAGTACAATGGAAATGCATAGAGCCAGAAAAATGGTACCCTATCTTCTCTCCACCCCAAACCCCCATTTTCTTTAAAAGTCTTATTCAACCCTACTTGTGCAGTATGAGTAGGATTGGTCACCAACTGACCGAGGGTGAACACTTTACTGAGGTCCGCATGCCTGAGTGTCCTGACCTGACCTCTTTGATGCAGACTGGACTAGTCAAAATCCTTTCCCTGGACTTTAACTTGTCACCAGAGATACTGGGATTGGTGCCTTCAGTAGAAACTGAAGCATATTCCTGGGAATTTTTGGAGGCCGTGTTTTCACATGGGACTAGAAAGTCACCCAACAGCACACAAGAAGCACAGGTACAACATGGAGAGAGGGAAAACCCTAGCAATATTCGTTGTTCTAAGGCCCAGCTATAGCCCTATCCCACTGAAGTGACAGATCCAATAGCAGATAAATCCCCACTTCCTACCCAGGCTAGCTCAGGCTACGTTTCCACCATTCGTAGCCTAAGGACTTCTGATGCAATACAACAAGTGGTAACAAGTCCCAATATGTCCCAAAAGGCATATACAGCTATAATCCGATGATATAAAATACCTGGTTTGAAGGCCTGCAAACCAAGATGCTGCTCCTAATGACCTCAGCATGAAGCCTACCTGAAAAGCCTTCCATCTTTAGAAACACTGCTGTACGTCACCAGGTTGCTCGTGCATGCTTCAGCAGCAGCCATGAAATACCCTACAACTTCAGGACGCTTAGGTATCTCTCAGTTCCAGAGGGCAATTACCATGTTCAGTGACTGCAGTGGGTGGTGTTTTTAACATGTGCTGAGCTGTGTCAATGAAGGCCTGAAACAGTTCTCCACGTCCCAAAAGGTAAAAGTCTTTAATAATCTAAGGAAAGAATTTCAATGGACAGTTCAGTAATCCAACAAGACCAGGAGCTTCTCGCTATCCTAAGAGAATTACACGTATTAATTTCTCATCTCACCACTTTGAGCCCAACCTACCAAAGGATATAGCCTTAGGCATTTCAAAGGACCATACCTTGTAAATCTTCATGGCAGCATGCCTGATGTGTCCTTGATATCATTTATTTAAACTAAATGCAATTATAAAATGCTAGCACAAAGTTCAACACCCAAAGCTTTGTAGATATTGTAGATATATAGCACTGGGTGGAGTAGGCCAACCTGCTGTGGATATGTGAGGCCACTCTGGAAGTCTGGGTACAATGTTCTCATGAGAGGCTAGAGCATTAATGAATATACTGCCCACAGCATCATTTTAAGAGTTAAAAGAACAGCTATTACCTTCAGCTGACCCAGTAAATCTGATTCTTCCACCATCAGCTTCCAGAGATGCTGTGAAAAGAACAAAACAGAAACAAATTTCATTACAATAAAAATTTTGTAAAGAATGGTTCTATGCACATCCAGCAATGTATTGAAAAAAGAATATATAGCATGACCAAGTTAGGTTAATTCCACAAATGAAAAGATAGTTTTAGGGGGCTCCCTGGTGGCGCAGGAGTTAAAGACACAGTGCTATCAAGCTATCTAGACCAGCCACTGCAGCAAGAGTTTGATTCCTGGCCAGGAAGCAACCCACATGGTGAGCAGACCTCTCCTGTCTTGCCCGCTGCTCCCCTTAGCAGTGTATTTCAGGAGATCTGCCTGTTCAGCTCCCTACTCTCTGGTGAATCCTCTCACCCCCTGCCCCTCTGGCTTACACCCCAGTTCTTGTATGCATAAATAAATCTTAAAAAAAAAAAAGAGATAGTTTTAACAGTTAAAATGTCCACCTATACATATGAGAGGAATGTTCTGAAATTAGATAACAGCAATGGTTGTACAACACTGTCTATGACATAAAAACCATTGACTTGTACACTGTTTTTAAATGACTCAAATATTGAATTTTATGTGAATTTATCTCAATAAAAAATTTTTAAATGAATGCAATTTATTGAATTACAGATTGAAAGAGAAAAATTTATGATTACTGCAATAGACACACAAAGAACATTTGATAAAGCTTAACATCTATTCAAGACTCAAGCAAGCGTAGAGGAATAGGAGGGAACTTCTTTATTCTAATGAAGAATATATACCAAAACCCATAGCAAGTAAGCTATTTAATGGTGAAAGAGATGAAATACCTTTTAAATCAATTAACATTGTACTAAAGTCTCTGACACTACAGCAAGGTAATTTTGAAAGCATAAATTTACTTACATAAAATTATGTAACTTTATAAGTTAATTTTATATAGTTAATATAACATATAGTAACATAACATTATATGTGATTTTTTTTTTTTATGTAACTGGAAAGGAAACTGCTATTATTAACAGATGTTATTACTATCTGCTTAGTGTCCAAGAGAATTGACATACTATCAGAACTACTTAGATAATTCAGCAAGGTGCTGATTAATATGTAAAAGTCAACTACATAAGCAGTGCTAGTGGTGAAGGTAAAATCCAGAATAGAATTTGCTAGTGAAGCATCAACACTGGTTCAGGGTGCTCATTCCCTTCTCTCTCTCATTGGAACTGACACAGATTAGAAACTGGACTTGACCCTTCGCTAATATGTATTACTAGACAAAGTAGCTGACATCCTCAGGGGAATATAATCTCACAGGTCAAAATACTTAGACAGGGGCCTCCCTGGTGGCGCCAAGGGGTTAGTTAAGACACAACCTGTGAAGCTGTCTGCAACCACTGTAGCACGAGTTCGATTCCCTGGCCAGGGAGCTACCCACATGGTGCAGCAGACATCTCCTGACTTGCCCGCTGTTGCCCTCAGCAGTATATTTCAGTCAATTCACCTGTTCTGTTCCCCACTCTGTCTCTGGTTAATCCTATCACACACCCCCCGCCAATGCCTCTGGTCTGTACCCTAGCTCTTGTATGCATAAATAAAAAAATCTTAAAAAAATTAGAAAGTGAGGAATAAACAAACAGGTAACACCCACTATCTAAAGCAGAAGTTTTAGAACAGACTGAGATGTACAGCATGCCTCTCAGATTTCCCATGCAAGACTGAAGTACTCATTCCCCCAGCTTCTAGTAGTACTACTGCATGTTGATGCCATTCCAGGTATTGCTCTTGGCTAGAGTTTCCTTATCCATAGATCCAGAGGAGGATACAGGGTGGCTAGGAGAACAATATTCGATTTCTGATAGATGCAGAATTGAGGTACAGTGGTCTAGTACTCTAACCTCAATTTGGGACATCTCTTAAGTGCCATTCTAACTTCAAGGCTCTGAATAGGATTGGCCAAGGCTTCTAATGCAACTGCATCACTATTCAATTCTGTTTCCCTCACTTGCAACCAAATCTTCATCTCAAATCTGTTTCATGAGAAATCTGACCTATGACACAGACCAAGAACATAAACATTCTTGATAAATATGTATAAAGTGGTAAGGATAGATAGCAACATAAATATACAATAAGAAATTTTAAAAAAGAGCCAAGTTGCTAGAACAACTAGATATACATGTGTAAAAATAAAAGCTTGATCCATACCTTGCACCACTTCAAAAATTAACTCAAAATGATCAGAGACCTAAATGTAAAACTGGAAACTATAAAAATTTCTAGAAGAAACAAATCTCTGACCAATAAATTTTTAGATACAGCAACAAAAGCAAGACTTAGAAAAGAAAGAAAAGGACAACCTGGACTTAGTCAAAATTAACTTCTGCTCTTTGAAAGACCTTTGAAAGACACTAAGACAATGAAAAAACAAGTCACAAATGGAAGAAAATATTTTAAGTCACATATCTGATAAAAAAGAACTTACATCCAGAAAATATGTACATATATAAAAAGAATTCTCAAAACTCAATAGTAAGAAAAAATGGACAATATTTGAACAGACACTTCACCAATGATGGTAAATAAGCATGTCAAAAGATATTCAATGTTACCAGTCATTATGAAAATACAAATTAAAACTACAATGAGTGAACAACCCAAATGTTTGTTTATAGATGAATGGATAAAAACACTGTATTTTCAAGGGGATACTATTCCATAATAAAAAAACTTCACACACCAACATGAATCTCAAAATAATTATGCAGAGTAAAAGAATACCTAGCATTGCAGCACTATTACAATAGCTAAAGTATGGAAACAACCTAAATGTCCAAAAACAGATGACTGGATCAAGAAGATGTGGTATAGATACACAAGGGAATATTACTTAGCAATCAAAAAAAAATAAACTCATGCCATTCACAGCAAAATGGATGGAGCTGGGATTATGCTCAGTGAAATAAGTCAGAAGGAAAAAGAAAAATATCCAATGGTTTCACTTATAGGAGGTATATAGGGAAACCAAACAAGGAGTAGCAAAAAAAAAGAAAATTAGCAGGCAGACTATAAATTGGAGACATAACGGGGGGGAGGGGGGAGAGAGATCAAAACAGGGGCAGGAAGAGCACAAGGGACTATGGTGATGGTTCACCGGTGACTCGGTGGTGGGAATTTCATGGGCACTACACCTGAGAGGAGAAATCAAACACTGTACAAAAATGAACAATGATGTGAAATAAATATATATGTTTAATAAAAAAAGAAATAAACCAAGAAAGTGACAGATCTGTACAATGAAAACAAGATGTTGTTGAAAGAGACAAATAGACACCCTGAGTTCATGAATCAGAACAATTAGTATTGTTAAAATGTCCCTATCACCCAAAGCCATCAATTGGTTCAATGCAATCCCCATCAAAATTCTAATGTTTTTCTTCACAGAAATGGAAAAAACAAGCCTGGGCCTCGCTGGTGGTGCAAGGGGTAAAGTCTCAGCACTACGAAGCAATCAGCAGTGTATTTCAGTAGATCCATCTGCTCTGCTCCCCACTCTGTCTCTGGTGAATCCTCTCACCCCCTGCACCTTTGGTCTGTACCCCAGTTTTTTGACTTAAAAATAAAACCTTTTTTTTTTTTTTTTTAAAGCAATCCTAATATCTGCACGGAACCACAGAAAACCCTGAATAACAAAACCGATCCTGAGGAAGAAAAACAAAACCAGCAGCATCATGCTTCCTGATTAGAAACTATACTATAAAGCACTAGTAATAAAAATGGTACTGCTCTGTCATAAAAATAAACAGACCAGAGGAACAGAACAGAGAACAAAGATTTAAATCCCTGCAAATACAGCCAACTATTATTTGACAAAAGAACACCAGATAAACAAATGCAGAATGTTTATATGTGAATGTGAAGAAGCGCCTTAACATAAGTTTTGGTAATGATTTTTTTGGATATAGCACCAAAAGCACTGATAATAAAAGCAAAACAAGCAAGTGGAACTACATCAGACTAAAAATGCTTTTGCACAACCAGGAAAAAAAAAAAAAAAAACCAACAAAATGCAAAGGCAACCTATGGAATGCAGAAAATATTTGCAAACCGCATAGTGGATAAGGGTTAATTCCCAATCTATACAATTCAATAACAAAAAATAACCCAAATAATCCTATTATAAATGGACAGAGGAAATAGGTATTGTTTCAAAAACATGTAAATGGCCAACCGGTATATAAAATGCTCATACAGAACATCATGAATCATCAGGGAAATGCAAACCAAAACCACAATGAAGTATCACCTCATACCTGTTAAAATGGCAATCATCTAGAAAACAAGAGGTAAGTCTACAAGTGTTGACAAGGATGTTGTCTTTTACATTCCCAGTGCACTGCTGGTGGGTATGTAAATAGGTACACACACCATAGAAAACAATATGGAGGTTCTTCAAAAATTAAAAAAAAAAAAAAAAAATAGAATTGCCATATAACCCAGCAATTCTACTGCTGGGTATATATCCAAAGGAAAGAAAACAGGATATCAAAGAGATATACGCACTATTAATCACAATAGCCAAACATGAAAACAATCGAAGTGCCTGTCAGTAGACAAATGGATAAAGAAGATGTGGTATATATTGGGCTGTCAGAAAACTCATGACGAAGTTTTGCTTGAAAAACAAAAAATGTATCATGACTTTTTCTGACAACCCAGCATAGTAACAATGGAACATTATTCAGCTATAAGGAACATGGATGGACCTTAAGGACATTATGTTAAGTGAGTTAAGTCAAAGACAAGTACTGTACCTGTAAAAATCAAAATAACCCAGAGAATAAAAACAGTAGCTCTCAGGGGATGGGGCGGGAGGATAAGATTGATAGTGCTTAAGGGCACAAACTTGTAATGAGTACTATAATAGCCACAGGCTTAATACACAGTATTACCAACAGACAATAATACTGTACAATGAAAATGTAATATAATAGTGTTACAAGGGTAACCACAGTACAACATATACAAAGCTA